ACGTGAGGGCCCTATGAGGGAGGGCACTCGCTGGGCCCTGGCTGCGAGCCAGGACCGTGCTAAGATAATAAATAAATAAAAACGGCCCTTCCCTCAGATTCACAGCCCAACGAATTCCACAAAGTAAGCACCAAACCTAGGATGGCAAATTAATAAAATAAGATCTATTCATCTCAAATTCCCACCTGAAAGCCATCTGCTGTCATTCTGCGTTCGGCACCCTTTCCTGCTCTAGACTTTATGTGATTTTCTGGAAGCATCACGTACCGAGAGCACAAACACATAATCTCCAACCTCTATGTCAAATAGGCACAGAGATTTAATTTTAAGTCTACCACACTTCTGCACAGAAGTCGACTAGACATTGCTCCCTGAAACAGACCAGAAGCCTTCCCCACGGACCACACCCACCACAAGAAAAGGTATGTCACGCTACGAAATGATAATCCTTCAGACTTTGGTCTGTAGTACAATTCTGGCAACTTCCCTAGGACACCAGCTCAGCAACCAAGGTCGTAGGAACGTGCAGGCAAGACACCTGGGTGGACACAGATGGCAACACAGACTTGGAGCCCAAGAACGACACACAGAACGTGGAGACGCTCTGCACCCTAACGGCAGCACAAGCCAACGGTAAGCCCTCCCCTGTGCTCCAAGAAGAGAAGCACCTCCTCATTGTAGCTGCCGCCACAAAGACATTTTATTATTCTTTCACAAAAACCCTTACGCTCGTATTGAAGTATCATAACACATTTTCAGCGGCTTAGAATTAACTAAGACACAGAAATGTCTACGTGCTCAATTCAAAGGACAGACTTGCTTTAAAGCACAGAATCACATACATGGCTAATACTTAACTTCTTGGATATTACTAATATAATTACCCTGTACTTATGGATAGAACAACCACTGTGAGCTTATCTCAACAAGGTTTCTACTTAAAAAGTTTTTTTTTTTTATTTTTGAGAGTGAGAAAGAGCTTGAGTGGGGGAGGGGCAGAGAAAGGGAGACACAGAACCTGAGCTGTCAGCACAGAGCCTGATGCAGGGCTCGAACCCATGAACTGCGAGACCATGATCTGAGCCAAAGTTGGACGCTTACCGACTGAGCCACGAGGGCACCCCCCAATCAGGTTTTTAAACCTGAATAAGCTTTCACGTAGAGTCAGACTTGTTTTCTTACACTAACCAGTGCTAACCAGTGGGGGGCAGGTCACCAAATTTTAGTACCAAACCAGGCCCCAACTGTCCCCACACCAAATCTAACATAGGCAAATAAGACTTCAAGAAGAATACACAGTGCTTTTTTCTCAAATTTGAATTATCCTTGCCAGGCCTCCCTTGGCATGTAGGGGAAAAGTAAAGAATTAAGGCTGGAGCGCCCGAGTCATGATCTCACAGCTCACGAGTTCAGACCCGGCACTGGGCTCCCTGCTGTCAGCACAGAGTCCGCTTTGGATCCTCTGTCCTACCCTCTCTCTGCCCCTCCCCTGCTCACACTCTCTCTCGAAGCTAAATGAAAACATTAAAACATAGAAAGAATTAAAGCTTAAGAAAAAAGATGAGACTAAAGAAGAATGATCATGGAGAGGCAGGTCCTTGGAGGAGAAGGGCACAGTGTTCAGACAGAAGACTCACACTTGAGCGGCACCACCAAAACCCAATTTCCAGTCTTCCTTAGCGAGTCCCTGGACCCTACAGTGGCGTCAGTCTCCTCCTCAGCATGGTGGCTGCTGTCACCCACCGGCCCTGCACGGCTGGCCAAAGTCACCAGATACCAAGTATTGGAACACATTGTAGAGAAGGAGGGAGATGGTCACACATGTGAAAGAAGACTTCCCAACATGTATTTTGTGAGTCCGTCTACAGACACTTCACACTAAGACACAGCCCTAGATGGTAACGGGGGGTTTTACAAGAATAAAAGAAAAACTTGCATTTTACAAATCACCAGTTCTTATTGCTATGCTTATGACCCCTCAATGTTTCTTTTTGCCACATATGTGACAAAAGCACTGGGACTCTGTGCTTCATAACAGGAAGGTACAACCGTTCAGTTTTTTCTTCCCGTGTATTTCTTTAGTTACAGTGGCCAAGTGGCCTCTGGATTTAACTATGCTCAGCAGTCCATGGATTACCTCAAAGGGGTTCAAGTCCTCACCAAGCATCTTTTTGACTTTTGGTCACTGAAAGGGAAAGGAAAAAGAAGAAGAAGAAATCACATCAGACTAGGAGGGAGCAACATGCTATTTCCTCACTGGGCCGAACAGATGACTCTGCGCCTCCGCAGCCCTCTCTCCTAGGGCTCTCCAGGCTCACACACCCGAGACTCCAAGCCCCGCTGCACCTGGCTGCCCCATGGACGCATTAGGCTCAGCATGGCCAAACCAAACTCATCTTCTCTCCAGATCATCCCTTCCTGAGAAGGTTTCTGTTGCCAATAAATAACACTATCCCCTCTCCGACTGCTCAAAACAGAACTGCTGGAGTCATCCTTGATTTCGTTCTCCTTCTAATCCTCTACTTACTCCTAAGTCTCAGGACCGCTTATCCTAGTTCCTAAACAGCTCTCAGAGCTGTTCATAATGGCCTCCCAACCGCTCTGCTTGGATCCACTTCTCCAACGGGCTCTCCGTAAGGCAGCCACAACCACCCTGCGTAAAACTCCAGTTTCCAAACTCCTATTTAACAGAGGCTGTGGAGGACTCCCCACAGCCTGATTCCTGCCTAATCCTCTAGCCTTGCTCTCTCCTTCGATGTTCAGGAGTCTAGCCATGTGAGTCAAAGACTACTAATTATAACCCTATATACGCTCTCCTCTTTCACAGTAATTACACCCTTATTTTTCAGCTAAATACAAGGCCATGGAATAAAAATCTTTCCCAGCCTCCCTTGCAGCTAAGTGTGGGCATATCACTGGGCTTGAGCCAATGGGCACGCGAGCCCTGCCCTCAAGAAAGGAGGTGTGGCCCTCTCCTTCCCTTTTCCCTTTCCAGCTGGCATAATGTGCAAAGTGACAGCTGAAGGAATCATCTGGGTCACTAAGTAGAAGGTGGCTGTGGATGATGACAGCACAAGAAGACAGATGGAGCCAAGTCCCCGATGACTGAAATTGCCACGTCAAAGCTGGACTACTCACCTGGACTTTTCATATGAAGCCTGTTTACTATTTCAACCACCAATGCACTGGCTTTTCTGTCCCTTGAAGCAGTCTTGTCTAAGTCTCATACATCACACCATTCTTCCAGATTCTTCGTTCTCTGGACTTTGGTGCCCGTGATTCACTCTGCCTGAAACACGGTTAACCCTTCTGATTCCCGCCTACTTTCACCCTTCGATTCTGAGCTGAAACGTTACTCTCCACGTAAGTTTTCCTTGACTTCCTAGATGAGGTTAAATACGCTTGCTATTTTTCTCCCTACACTTTCCTTTGGCTAATACTCACCACACCTACAAGTGCTGGGCTCGTGTGAGTCTCCTTCAGTACTACATACTCTTTCAGAGGACCTATCTGCTTTTTCCACGGTCATCCAAGTATCTGGCACTCAGCACATGTCCAACAAATATTTGCTCAATGAACAGTATCACAGCCCTTGTGTGACCTCTGGGCCACACCCTGAGGACTTCTTGACCTCACAGTACGGAGCTCCTGTCAGCTCCACCTGCAGCTATACTCCTATCAGACGCTCTCAATGTAAATGCTGTCTCCCTCCATTCCCTTCTAGACAATTCTGAAATGTGCCAGCTCCTTCAACTGATCTGCACAGCCCTTACTGGCACCAGTTCATTTTCTCTTAATACGCCTAGAGCTCGAGTGGAAAGTAATATGTGAACTCTTGGAATTAATGTATACATGGAGACCCTTCACTAACTAATACGGTCACATTTTCAAGAACTGAGATGTCTTACAGGATTTTTTTTAAATATAAGAAACATGCAAACCACATTATCTGAATTCTGACCATATACAGGAAACAGTCTCAAAATATTTAAAAACCCTCTGGCTATAAAGTGTACATCGCTTTTTAACCTCATTACAACTACCTGTCAGTTTACTGCTTTATATACTCACCCTCCACTGACACTGAAGATTTTACATGGTTTACTCATTTTCACAAAATAAACATCTTTTTGTTATAACACTGCAGAGGAGGCGGCAGTGGGACATAAGACAAACAAGCAAACAAAAATCAAAGGAGCTGAGTGATAGCCTTCGGTTGCCAATGATTCAGTGGGTGACCCGGGATCCCTTCGTTTTTAACTCTACAATGAAAGGTACCGGTGATTCCTAAGATCCCCTTGAAGAAAAAATATTGTTGCCATATCAATTTGCTATTAATCACTTAATAGAGATGCTGCTGGTGATTTATGCCAAAGACTGTATGATTACCAGTATTTACAGGAAATCTGACATTTGTCTATCAGTTTTAGGTTACATGGAGGTTTTAATGAGTCTAAACTATGGTCCTTAAACTATCTGAAAATAAACGTATCCTCTGGAAATGCTAGCTTTTGTGTGCGACAAGAAGGGCTCTTGGAATGTGAGATTTTCCACTATGTGTCATTTTCCTCCCACATTTGTTAGGTGCCCACACTGGATTCGGCAGGTGCTCTGTAAAACGCACCGGTCAAAAGAACAGAATGGTTTTCTGTTTTCACTGCCGCTCCCTTGTTCCCGTGGCCTCCCTTCCCTTACACGGTCCCAGAGCCCGCGAAGGGGGATCCGGAGAGCAACTGATTCAGCGTCAGGCCCCAGCACAAACGTCTGGGCTTGTCCCGTACTTCAAGCACGAACGGCCTAGCCTGGGCTTTCCGCATCTCTAGTAACAGTCAGAGGTTCGCAGCCGTCTCCCGGAGGCTACAGGCTGGAAGCGGCGCCCCTCGCCCCCATTCTCCCGACCTGCGGACCTTACGGGCTCCTGCCCGGCCCGCGCCGCCCACCTCTTCACACCCCAGAAGGGGCCGCCCCGCCCCCAGCCCGCGGTCGCCCTCGGCCCCGACCTCCTCGAACTGCTCGCCCGAGCAGCCGGCGCCACGAGCCTCCAGCAGCTCCCGGAACTGCTCCAAGGTGACGGACTCTTCGCCGCGGCCCAGCCGCTCCTCCAGCCAGCGCAGCAGCGCGCCGTGGTGCCTGGACACCAGGGACTCGCAGGGCGGCGTGGGCCGCAACGCCGCCGCCGCCTCCCGCAGCCGGGCCGGCTCCAGCAGTGCCGCGGCGGGCGGCAGCCCGGGCGCCGCGGGGCCCGGGCCGGGGGTCGCGCCCGAGTCTGCGGCCCAGTCCCGGTGCGGGCCCCAGCCCTCGCCCCCGGCGGCGGCCGCTTCGTCTTCGCTGCTGTGACTCGGAGCGTTCCCCATGGGGTCTCCGTCTCGGGCGTCCGGCTCTGCCGCCGCCGCCTCCCTGCCTAGACCTGTCAACCTCCGGCGGCACCCGGCGGGCGGGGACAGGGAGGGGAAGACGGCGGCAGCAGCAGCTTCCGGCTTCGTCGCCGTCAAGCGAGGACTGCCGTCGCAAAGGCGCCGTCAAGCGAACTGTATCAGCTGCCGTGAGACAGCACGCGGAGGACGGCGTCGGCAGCGGGTGGAGCCCCGATTTCCGAGGGCGCGAGTCCCTCCTAACGTCTACGTCATGCCGCAGCCTCCTTTGCCGCCATTTTTGTGAGGGGCGACAGCCGGCGCGGCCAGGCCTTTCGCGGCTTACTTTCTCGGTGTCTCTCCGCGTTCTCTAGCTACGCCGGAAAATGGCTGAACGGACTCGGGGCCCGGGAGTGACCTTCCGCCACGGCCTTTTTCCCTTCAGCCCTCCCTTGTCCCCTCGGTGACGCGGGCGGGGGAGAGAGGGCGTCGCGCCGGTGACGTCGCGCCTGCGCCGCCGCCATCTTGGCCGTGGACGGTGGGGCGGCGGCTGGCGAGGCGCCGGCGCCCCGCGGCGTCCGGATGCCGAGGCTCGGCGGGCGGGCGCTCTGGCTGGGCCTGGCGGCGGCGGCGGCGGCGGCGGCGGCGGCGCGGTGGCTGGGCTGGTGGGGCGGCCGCGCCGGCCCTCGCCTGTTCGTCCCCGAGGAGCTGGCCCGCTACCGCGGCGGCGCCGGCGACCCGGGCCTCTACCTGGCGTTGCTCGGCCGCGTCTACGACGTGTCCCCCGGCCGGAGGCACTACGAGCCCGGGGCCCACTATAGCGGCTTCGCAGGTACCGGCGAGGCGGCTCACGCCGTGTTCTGCTGCGACGCGGGCCCGTGGCCGCCTCTGCGTCGTCCGTTCGTGCACCGACTCATCCACTCGTTCGTTCGTTCATTCATTCATTCCCCGGGGAGCTTGGTCTCCCCGCTTCCCTCAGACCGGGGCGAGCGGGACTGGCCGACTGTCACCGGCCCCTCCCTTCCCTGGGTGTCCCACCCGTTCTTCGCGACGTAGGTTCGAGAAGCAGGCCTCCTGCGTCTTCAGCTGCCCACCGGCCGCAGCCCCCGCCCGTGCGTGGCCCGGGGCACAGGGTGAGCGAGACCTAGTCCCTGACCTCCGAGTACCCGACCGAGTCCGCCGCGTCTGGAGGGGGTTCCCACCCAAAGTACCCTGTCTTCGCCCCACTCCCGGCCTCTCCTAATCACAGTACGTTTGGTTTGAGTTGTTCGGCTTCCAGGGCCGGTGCGCGGGTCTCCGTTACAGGTTCTGAGGCAGGAACGCGGAGAAACGGTCTGGGCAGCGTCGTAGCCCTTCATCCCGCAAAACGGCTGCACAGACGTGAGGCCGGCAGCCGGTCAGGCGAAGTGTGTTCTGTCTCCAGCTGAGGGGGTCGAGGCGTGTGGTTGCCTACAGCCCTCACGAGTAAGTGCCGACAGGCGTGAGCCCAGGGCCACAGCCCAGAGGGACAGCCATCTACCCGGTTAAGGAGGAAGACATGCGGAGCGTACGGGCAGTGACCAGGCTGATGTTTAAGGAGCATTTTCCATTTGTCATCGTCTTGGGGAATCGGGAAGCTGCATCTGGTACCTAAATACAAGTCACTACCCTGTGGCGAGAACTTCAGGGCCGGAAGCGTGGACAGAAGGAATTGAGGTCAGCTGGTGTTGCCGCTCAAACAGCCAGGCAAGGAAGGGACTTCCCAGAGCTGCACCAAGGCCGAGAAGCAGAGCTGGGACCGGGGTCAGAGGAGGGACGGTTCGTGGTGCACAGCTGCCAGGGAGGGATGCACACGTGTGAACACGAAACCTTCCATCTCTGGGGTCATGTTTCCTCTGCAGCGTGCTCTACTGTCTGCTGAGTTCCTTCGTGCCCATTATTCATTCAACACCCATTCATTGACCACTGCCATGCAGCCCGCCATGTGCCAGGTGCTAAGGGATCAGAAATTAATGTTCCCCACGACCCACACCCTCTAGGAGGGTCTAGCAGATGTATTCCTTTATTGAGTCGTTCATTCAGTGTTTTATTATTTTTTATAAAGATAGAATTCACAGAATATAAAATCTACCTTTTACAGCATACAATTCAGTAGTTTAAAAAATTTTTTTTAATTCTTTATTTTTGAAGGGGAGAGAGAGAACGAGAGCATGAGCAAGCACAGGGGAGGGGCAGAGAGAGAGAGGGAGACACAGAATCCAAAGCAGGCCTCAGCAAGCTGTCAGCACAGAGCCCGACACAGGGCTTGAACCCACAGGCCATGAGATCACGACCTGAGCCGAAGTCAGATGCTTAACCAACTGAGCCACCCAGGCGCTCCTAGTTTTTAATATAGTCAGAAAGCTGTGCATACATCACCCCAATCTAATTCCAGACGTTTTTATACCCCCCAAAAGAAACCCCATAGCCACTGGCAGTCACTACGCAGTCCTTCCTACCCCCCAGCCTCTGGCAACCACTGTCTACTCTCTGTCCGGACATTTCATATAAGTGGTATCATACGTGTGGCCTTTGTTCCTGGCTTTCACTCAGCACATGTTTTCAAAGTTCATCCAGGCCATATCGTCATGTATCAGTACTGCATTCTGCCCGAGGACCAAATGGTACTCCATATTATGTATATACCACATAGTGTTTATTTGATTATAATTTGTTGGACATTTGGGCAGTTTCCACTTTGCCTGTTATGAAACAGCACTGCTATGAACCTACGTGGACACACTTGGGTGTGGTCGTATGTTTCTAGTTCTCTTGGGTCTATACCTGAGAGCAAAATTCCTGGGTCACGTGGTAACTCTTGTGTTTCAGTTTGAGAAACTGCCACATTGTTTTCTAGAGCGGCTATGTTCCCAACACTGGTGTCTGAGACTTCCAGGTTTTCCACATTCTCGCCAAATTTGTTATCTTTTTTATTGTCGTCTTTTTGGTTATAGTCATTTTAATGGCTTTGATGTGGTATCATCGTGGTTTTATTTGCATTTCCTTAATAACTAAAGCTGTTGAACAGCTTTTTCTGTGCTTGTTGACCATTTGTATATCTTCATGGAGAAATGTCTGTCCAAATCCTTTGTCCATTTTTTAATTGAATTGCCCTTTTATTGAGTTGTGAGAGTTCTTCATATACCCTGGATACTAGACTCTTATCAGATCCATGATTTGCAAATATTTTCTCCCATGTCATAGGTTGTCTTTTCATTTCTTGATGGTTTGCTTTAATGCACAAAATTTTTAATTTTTGATCAGGTCTAGTTTATTAATTTTTGGTAGCTTGTGCGTTTGGTGTCTTATCTAAGAAACCATCACCTAATCCAAGATCACAAAGATTTATATCTATGTTTTCTTCTAAGAGTTTATAACTTTTGCTTATACATTCAGGCCTTTGCTATATTTCAAGATAACTTTATATATGATGTGTTCTTTTGCATATTGCTATCCAGTTGTCCAAGCATCCTTTGTTGAAAAGACTGTTCTTTCCCCTGGGGCACTTAGGTGGCTCAGGCGGTTAAGTATCTGTCTCTTGATTTCAGCTTAGATCATGATCTCACAGCCATGAGGTTTAGCTGTGCCTCAGGCTCCACGCTAGGATTCTCTCTCTCCCTCTCCTGGGCGCTTGCACACACGCTTTCTCTCTCCTAATAAATAAATAAACATTTAAAAAAATGACTATTCTTTCCTCCTTCGAATTATTGAAAATAATTATAAATAACTGATTTATTGAAAATTGATTACAATGCATGGGTTTCATATAGCCAATATTTATTGATAATTATTAAAGAGTAGGCACTACCAGACACTGGGGAATCAATACTGAGTCTGGTATGTTCTCTTCCTTGATGAAACTTGCAGACTAGTAGAAAAAAAAGGCATTAAATAGTTACTGCGTGAACAATTAATGAATTATTTTTGTGACAGTGTTAAAACACGCTTGTATTGCCAGAGGCCCTAACCTAACGGGGGAGAGGAGAGAGAGGAAGAGAGCATGGTGGAAAGGCGGGATTGGTGGCTAGCAGTATAGGGCCCTGAGTACTGTGTTAAGGAATCTGGATATTATTCTAGGGCAAAAGGAAACCACTGAGAATTATTTTTTATTTTTAAAGTTTATTTATTTTGAGAGAGAGAGAGAGAGAGAGAGAGCGCGCGCATGAGCGGGAGAGGGGCAGAGGGGCAGAGATAGAATCCCAAGAAAGCTCTGCATTGTCAGCCCAGTGTGGGGCTTGATCTCACGAACCATAAGATCATGACCTGAACTGAAATCAAGAGGCAGATGTTTAACCGACTGAGCCACCCAGAAGCCGCTGAGGATTTTTAATCAAGAGAATGACATCAGTCATGTTTAAAATACCAGTGTAAGTGTTGTCTAAAAGCAGGGAAAGAACGAACGTAAGGAGAGCCGCTAGGGGTGTACTTTGGTAGTTCAGGTGAGTGACAGTGGCCACCTGAGCCAGCTTTGTAGCACACAGAAAGACACACAGGTAGGAGAACTACTTAGGGAGACATTGAAGGATGTAAGGGATGGAAAAGGAGGTGTCTTGGACTGCATTTCTGGACTTAGCAACTGGGTGACATTTACCAAGATAGGAAATACTCCAATAGACGCAGGCTTCCTGGGCCTGGGGGTGCTGGTTAGTGTGGACGTTTTGAACCCAGGACGTTTGTAAACACCTAAGCGACATTGAGTAAGTAATTGGACACACCGGTCTGGACACCCATCAGGAGAAGTCAGGCAATCTTGGGCGTAGAGGTGGTTGTGAAAACACGGGAGTAGACCGCAGAGGGGGAGGCGCTGGTAGGAAACGAGCCAGAGAGAGAGGAGGAAGGCCAGGAACATAGTGTCATGGAAGCCTGAAGACACGGTCAGTCAGTGCTGCCGAAGGTGAATGAACAACGTGATAAACGCCAAAATAAGTGTCCCAGACCCAGGCGCATCTGTCCCGGAGCGGGGGAGGGGGCTTTTCTTGGAGATGGGGAGTAGGGGTTCTCAGAAGTCTCTCAGAAAATAGGCCCTTGAGTTGGTGCAGTGCCAGCGATTGGCAGGCTAATCGACGTGGACCCTTCTCTCCTGCAGGCCGGGATGCGTCTAGGGCGTTTGTGACAGGGGACCGCTCTGCAGCAGGCCTGGTGGATGATGTATCCGACCTGTCGTTTTCAGAGATGCTGACACTTCAAAACTGGCTTTCGTTCTACGAGAAGAATTACGAGTTCGTTGGTAGGTGATCCACAGGCCGTTTCTGTAGGTTCTATTCAGCTGTCTTGCAGTTTTGTCAAGGGGTTAGAGCTACGGGGATTGGACTTGAGGTTAAGATCTGTAAAATAAATGCCCGTGGATTTTTCACCTTAAACTTTGGTTGTTAGCGTGGCAGAGAGTCCCAGAAGGACGTGGCTGGGACACTGGTTTCCGTCGCTCGTAATCTTGAGAGAGGACGGTGTGGCTGTTCGGGTTGGCCTGTTGTGCCCGTTAGTGAGTGCCTGAGCCACCCTTGAACAACCAGCTCCCTCACTGTGCCCCAGGCATCGGGTGTCAGCACCCCGTCAGGAAGGCTTGAAGCCTCAGTCTGTGTGCAGTTCTGACAGTGATTTATTTTGTCTTGTAAGGAGACGTACTTTAGTCTGTGTCCATCCCAAAGGAATGGTCTCCCAGGAGGAAGTCAGGCTAATCCCGTATTTATTAAAGCCGGTCATGTAGGATGCTGCACTTGCTACCTACTGGTGATGCTTGAGGGAATCGCCTTTTTGTTTTTTTAATGTTTTATTTATTTCTGAGAGAGAGAGACAGCATGAGCAGGAGAGGGTCAGAGAGAGAAGGAGACAGAGAATCTGAAGCAGCTCCAGGCTCTGAGCTGTCAGCACAGAGCCTGACGCGCGGCCCAAACCCATGAACCGTGAGATCATGTCCCGAGCTGAAGTCGGTTTTTTTTTTTTTTGTTTCTCTTTTGCTCCTTGTTTTTCTTTTTTTATATATACTTTTTTTTGTTTTTTTTATATTTTTTATTCTTTATACTTTATTTTTTTTTTTTTTCTTTTAATTTTGTTTTTTTTGTTCTTTTTTTTTTTCTTTTTTTCTTTTTTCTCTCTTTTTTTCTTTTTTGTTACATTTTTGTTGTTTTTTGTGTTTTTTTTGTTTCTCTCTTCTTTTTTTTGTTTCTTTTTTTGTTGTTTTTTTTCTTTTCCTTTTTCTTCTTTTTATTTTTTTTGTTTTTTTTTTTTTGGTTTCTTCTTTTTTGATTTTTTTTTTCTTTTTTTTTTCTTCTTCTCTCTCTTTTTTTTTTTTGTTTTTTTTTTTTCTTGTTTTTTTTTGTTTTTTTTCTTTTTCCCTCTTCTCACTCTCTTTGTTTCTTTTTTTTTTTTTTTTTTTATTCCTTTTCTTTTTTTTCTCCTTTTTTTCCTTTTTTTTTCTTTTTTTCATTTGTGTTTTTTTCTCCTTTTTATTTTTTTTTGTTTTTGTGTTCTCTCTTTTCCTTGTGTTTTTTTTTTATATTTTTTTTTTTTATTTGTTATATATTTTTTTTCATATTTCTTTTTTTTTGGTTCTTTGAGTGTGTTTAGTGTGTTTTATTTTATACTTTTTTTTTTATTTTTGGTTTATATTTTTTTGTTTTTGTTTTTGTGTGTTTTTTTTTTTTTTTTTTAGTGTGTGTGTGTGTGTGTGGGGGTGTGGTGTGTTTTTTGTTTTTAGTTTTTTTTTGTTTTTTTTTTTTTTTTTTCGCGTGTTTTTGTTTTTTTTTTGTGTGTGTTTTGCGTTTTTTTCCTTGTTTTTCTTTTGTTCTCTTATTCCTCTTTAGTTTTTTTTTTTTTTTTTTGTTTTGTGTTTTGTTTTGTTTATTTGTTTTTTTTTTTTTTTTTTCTCTTGTTTATTTGATTTTTCTTTTTTTTGTTTTTTTTACTTTGTGTTTTGTTTATTCTTTTTTTGTTGTTTTCTTTTTTCTTTTTTTGTTTTTTTTATTTCTTTTTCTTTTTTTTCTTTTTTTTTTTCTCTCTTTGTGTTTCTCTCTTTTTTTACTCTCTTCTTTATTTTTTTTTCTTTTTACATAGATTTTTTTTTTGTTTTTTTTTTTCTTTTCTTTTTCTTTGTTTTTTTTTTTTTGTTTTTTGTTTCTTGTTCTCTTTTTTTTTTTTTTTTTTTTTTAATTTGTGTTCTCTTTGTTTTTTTTTTGTGTGTTTTGTTTTTTCTTTTTTTGTGAGATACATTTTTTATATTTTTATTTTTTTTACATTTCTTTATTTTGTTTTGTTTTTTATATATATATTTTTTGGGGGGGGGGGGGGGGTCTGGCACCTTTAGAGCAGATGATCGGGGGAGGCCTCTAGGCGGGGCTGGGATGAGGGGCAGTCAGATTGAGGTCTGAGGAGAGAACTTTCTAGACTGAAGGAACAGCAGTGCTGAGGCGAGGAGCAGCTAGGCGCAGTCAGGGAAGAGAGGAAGCCCGCGTGCTGGACCCACAGCACGCCGGGGAGGGAGGGGGTGGCGGGCAGAAGTCTGTATTTGATCCACGTGCTTCAGAAGCCACGGGGGGGTCCAGACCAGGCGTGAAGGGGACAGGATGGGACTCATGTTTTCCGAAGACGGCTGGGTTGCTTTGTGGGGGAAGAACGGTGGGGCGGCATGGTCGGGAGTGGGTGGAGGCCACCACTGGGGTCCACAGCTCGGGTGCGGGGGGTGCGGGGTAGAAACAGGGCAGGCGGACTCGCGGTGTCTTTTAGAGGCTGGATGGACCGTGTCTGCTGCTGGACAGACTGCCGTGGGAGGAGGTGGCGGCCTGTGCACAGCACTGAAGTCGGGACCTGAGGGGTCGCCCGGATGCTGGGCACGCGGCACGTAGCGCCCCTGCCGTCTGGGCACAGCAGGGGCAGGTCATCCCTTCGAGAAGCCCTTTGCTGCTGCTTCTCGAGAAGCCCTGGTGCGGCAGGTGCTGCCCGGATGGGGCCTGCACCGCGGGACGCAGCGAATCCCTGCCCCTGAGGGGTGACTGCTGGGGCTCAGGCCCGCGGACCACTTGCAGGCTTGTCTGGGAGACTCTGAAACCGCACTAAGGACTGAGTGGGACTGAGTGGGAAGAGGACGGTGGGTGGAGAACCTGAGCTCTAGCCTCCCGGCCCCCCCGGCTACGCAGCCTCCCGTCTCTCCTGGGAGTCGGGACCCCAATTCCTTTCTTACAAGTGCGTAAGAGGGTTCACAGAACGACGGCAGAGAGAGCACAGTGCCTGATGCCGAGTAAATGCTCAACAGAGGGCTTATTTGTAGTTGTACAGGAGGAAATAATTTAAGCTTGGGAAGAACTGAGCCACAGATGTTGCCCGATCAGCCAGTCGCTTGTGTGACAAGTGCCCGGAGCCCTGCGGGGCAGGGAAGGATGGGTCAGGGAAGCCGCGTCTGCACGTGCGGCAGGGCCGACGGCCTCCATGCTGGAGGCGTCCACAGCTAGAGCAGGGGTCTTGTGGGACACTGGGGAGTTCTTGCTCTGCAGGTCAGAACCCCTGGGGACTCGCACTTCATCACGGAGGGGAGGCATTTGCTCGTGTGTCCCTCCCGCTGTGACGCTGATCTCCGCTCTCCTGTCGCTGCAGGAAGGGTGATCGGAAGGTTCTACGGAGCAGACGGCCTCCCGACCCCAGAACTGACCCGGGTAGAAGCCATGGTCACCCAGGGCGCGGAGGCAGGCAGGCGGGCCCTGGAGGAGAAGCGGAAGTTCCCGCCGTGCAACGCCGAGTGGAGCTCCAGCAGGGGCAGCCGGCTGTGGTGCTCCCCAGAGAGGTGAGCGGGCTCCCCTAACCCTTCCCGCCTCCCCCAAGTCGTCCTGTCCACGATCCAGCGAAGCCCTAACCCAGCTGTTGACTCGGAGACCTTTTCAAAGGCCACACGCTCTGGGGAGCCACCTTCAATGTTGTCTCCGTGTTGGAGCCTCCCGAGCCCAGAAAACATCACTGCCAGTGAGGTCAGGCTTGAGAGCGGGGCCTGTGTTCTGTTTGCTTCAGTTCCCCAGAGACGCGGGTCTGGGCGTGCGAAGGCCTGAGTACCGCTGCTTGCTTTGGCCTGTTGATCCATCCCAGGGCCTCCGTTGCCTCCGCACAGGTCACTCCTGCCTGCGGGAGACAGGGGTGAGGCAGTGGGGACAGCCACTGGCAGCGAGAACCTGAGATGCCGTCTTAAAGTACGGCCTTGCCCGCAGAAATTAAGCGAGGTGTGCCCGGTTAGGGTAGATGCCGCAGGGATTATCCCGGGTTGTTTGGGGAGCGGGAGACAAAACGTTTTTCCTGCTGGTTATCAGGCCAGCCTGGACCCAAATGCACTTGCAGCCGTCGGTCCCCTTCGCCGCGGTGCGGAATACGGACGCCCCCACGCACCAGCCCCACGGGCCTCCCAGGAGGAGCCCCGCTCTCCCTGAGAAGGGTAGGGAAGCCGCTTCCCAGGGTGCTGTGTAGATCCACCCCCTTCTGCGGGGAGAGGCCTTCTTGCCCTGCTTGTGGCCGGCTCCGTGTGCAGACAGAGCAGCCAAAGCCAGCCGCCGGCCCTGGGCCCGGCCCCGGCACCGTCATGGGTCCACCGGCTCACTTCAGGGAAGCAGGGGCGCACCGGCCGAAGGAGAGCTCCTGCCGTCCAGTTCCCAAGAGACCCGGCCTGCCCACCCGCGGGGAGGGGCTGGGGCACGGGGACCCGGGTCCCCTGGGAGGCTGCCTCCCCCGCCAGCCCCGGCGCTGTGGCCCCTTCTTGCCTCCGTGCCTTCCCCACCCTGACAGGTCCGCCCTCGGCCGTCTCTGCTCAGACAGGGACTGGGGGTGAAGCGAGGTTGCCCGGGGGGAGGAGGCTGGAAGGAGGGCCTTTCTGAGCCCTGACAGCCTGTTCTTGGGGGAGCTGCTGGCGGGGTGGTTTCTAACCAGGTCTTGGTCCCAGACACTGGGACGTCCACGGGGCACCAGGTCCAGAGCCTCACCTTCCTTGTGAGCCCGCGGGGACTGCGCCTTGGCCCCGGGCGGGAGGGCGCCCAGGCCGTGCTGGGCCAGAGCACCGTGCTCCACCTCTGAGGCCTCCTCACATCCAGGGTGGGGCCTCTCGCAGGGACGACCCGTTAGCCCAGGGTGGCTGCCTCAGTTGCCCACCTGCACCCTCAAGCCGCAGGCCGTAGGATGGAGACGCAGCCTGGTGCTGGGGTGCAGCAGAGAACGGGGAGGAGGCTCAGGGCCAGATGCTGCTTCTGAGAAGCTCCCGGGCCAGTGGGGGGGTGCCTGCTCCTGGGAAGGCGCGGGGCGGGGCGGGGGCGGGGGCGGGGCGGGAGATGCTGGAGGAGTTGAGAGCGCGGAGGGCTGGGCACGCGCTGCACACCAGCACCTCAGGAAGACGCCCCCTCACTCCTCCGTCCCCCGAGACTCCCGCGTTCCTGTTCGTGCTGCTGAGAGTCTCCTCTTCTTCTGTCCTTAGTGGAGGAGTGAGCAGAGACTGGACCGGTGTCCCCAGGAAGCTGTATAAGCCAGGGGCCACGGAGCCCCACTGTGTGTGCGTGAGAACCACCGGACCCCCCAGCGACCAGGCCCAGGGCCTCCCCGCGCACACAAACCGCGGGGACTTGGATCACCCCAACTTGGGGGAGTACGCAGGCTGTCCCCCGCTGGCCGTCACCTGCTCCTTCCCACCGCGATAACCACCGACGGCCCTGCCTGACGCACGCACTCGTGGCGCCCGCCCACGCCCTCCTGTGCCTGAGATGGGAGCGTGGGTGGCCGCCTGCCCGTGGCCACTTGTCCCCCAGACCTGCCTGCCCCCTTCGTCAGAGCCCTCAGGGGTCAACCAACCCCCAGACTGACGGGACGGCCAGGCACCAGGCTCTGGGCTCCAGCAGCATCCGGCACTGGCAGACACGCCCGGAGAAGCCACGTCAGTTAACACGTCAGCGTAAGTCCCAGGTTCCTCGCTGGCCGAGCTTGTGACCCCTGACCCTTACCACCTTTCGTATGTCTGAGACCCCTGCCCAGAGCCACAGCCCCCAGTAGTTGGTCTGAGCAGAGCCAGGACCGTGAGAGACGACAGTAAAACCACGGAGGCTGGTTCTGGAAGTGGACGGGCGTCTACTCATTTGGAGGCAGTAGATCCAGAGGCTTCTGAACAGAGCAACAATTTGAAGCGAGGACACTCTGTGTCTTTTAAACACTCCGGTGTGGGAGACGCCTGCAGCCACGTACAAAGCGGTTTCCCATCCCTGCCGGCTGCGTGTCCAGGGCCGCCCGTACTCCCGGCGCCGACCCGACGAGCTTCGTACGCAGGTCCCACCTTCAGGCGAGGCCGCGGAGCCCGGTGCCGTCCCAGATCCGAGTCTGCCCCCCGGCTCCTCCCTACACACCCGCCGTCCTTCACGGTGAACTCAGCAGCTTTCCAGACCCGCCCGCTAGACAGTGAGGCTGCCTCCCGTCCGCTGGCAGCAGGGGGCACCCGGACACCCCAGGACCACCCTCACCCGCCGCCGCCCGCCTCCGCGCTTCCCTCCAGTCACGAAGGAAACCCGCTCTGTTGCGCTAATCTGCTTCCCGCCGCGGCTCTGAGAGCGGCCCCTGCAGCCTCCACTCGCCCCACGTCAGTCACCAGCCCTGCCCTTCCCGACCCCTCGGCCACAGCCTTCCCAGACCCGTCCCACCCGAGGGCCCGTGGAACCCTCCCGTAGCTCTCGCCGGGTTCCCCCAGGCGCCCCTCTCAGCCCGAGCCCCCCCCCCCCCAGGGCTCCCACATCAGCTGCGTCCAGGTAGGCGGCTCCCCAGAGCACTTCCGAGGCACCCCGACTCCACGTTTCTGTCCCCATGGCCACGCGCACCCAGTCACGGCAAGTGAGGACCCCGGGAGCCACGCAGGACCGCCTTCCGCTGCCACTCTGCCCCTCCCACCCAGCCCCCAGCCCCCCGGTCTCCCCGCCCTCTGCGTTGCTGTGAGCAGTCCCCCTGAATGACCGCGGTGGCCCCACATCCACCCCTGGGCCGCGGGGACCCTCCAGCTATGGGCCCCCTCCCTCCGCCCCGGTGCCAGCGGGGGGCCTCCACCAGGCTGTCCCCCTTCCTGTGCTCGGTTTGTCTACCTGTGACCTCTACAACTCAGCTAAGTCAGCACCTCTGGGGGGCCTGTGCAGACATGGCCTGTGACAGCCTTGTTCTGGTACGTGAGTCTCCTGCCTGCCTCCCTCCCTGGACAGACTGAAGTTACCCAGATTCGTGTCCCCCACCCACAGTACCCAGCGCGTAGCAGGTGCAGAGTTAGCTCTGAGTTTGCAGATGAAGCAACCCAGCTGCAGAGAGTCTAATACGGGCACAGAGCAGTAGAGCTGAGCCTCGAACTCAGGTTCCTGTCCTGAGATCCACACACCCCTTGGACCGCGTGCCTGCTGTCCCTGCTGGTGGGGACGGCCACTGATCTGGCCCTCCGTGGTCCGCAGCTGTGTACGGGCACCTGTGTACCCTGGAGTGGGGTGGCGGCAGGCGAGGGTCCCAGAGGCCAGCTGCGGGGGGGAACAGGGGACACGGTGGGGGCAGGGTCCAGAGGGGTCCAGACCCTTCCAAAACAAACTGAAAATGGAAAGCAGCAAAACCAGGTCCCCTTACCGTCACCCCAGCCAAGTGTGGCCAGAGAAGGCCCTGGGCGGCCACTCTGGGCCTGCACCTGCTTGCTCACTTCCCGCTCAAAGAGAATGACACCGACCACGTACTTTACGTGAACAGCCTCCTCGTGGTGGGGCGCCGGGCAAACCCTCGAGTAGGCCGTCAGCCTGATGGCGTGAAGGGCTCTGCCATGAAGCTAGTGGTCACCGGGGAAGTGCCCGTCCTCTCCCCTCAGTAGAAGTGGCCCCGGGCGGCCCTCTGGTAGAGGGAGGCAGGTCCCCCGCGATGGATGCCACACGCAGTGCAGCCCAGGAGGGTAAGACGGGCTGGCAGAGGAAAGGGTGCCGGGCAGCGGCTTGTAACCTCTGTGCCCTTGAGAGTCCAGAGAAGGGGCACAACGGCCAGCGGCCCCCTCTGCTTTCCACGGGCCTCGTGAGCAGGGCTGTGTTGACCAGGCTGGGCAGCTGCCCCCCAAGGGTGGAGAGCCTGGGGTCAGAGGGGGCCACGGCGGACCAGCGCCCCATCCCTTGCTCGCTCGGTTGCAGGGCAGCAGTGACCAGAGAGACACACAACCTGGGGTGGACAAACTGAACCCCCACCACCTGAGCCGCAGACACTCCTGCAGGGAAACCGCACGCGGTGCTCCCAGGAGGGGACTCTCAGTCCGCACACCGCCATCGGTGCCCTCGCAGCAGAGGAAGGACGAACTCCCTGCCTCGGATCACCTCCTTCAGGACCCGGGGGTGGGAACCAGGAAGGGCCGTGGCCAGCACGTCCACGTGACCGGTGCAAAGTAAGGCACAGACGTTGGGAAACTGGCCCAGTGCTGCCCGCTCACCGTGACAGCAGAGCGAAGCCCCGTGCGGGAGCGGCCCGGGCCCGGGCTGTGCTCACGGGTTCCGACTGGCGCTCCCCGCGAGGGGGCCGCTAGGGCTACTCGGGGCTGTCCCCTGGAAGCGCTCAGCGGGGCCTGTGAGCTGGGGTGAGCGAGCTGCAAGACGGAGAGGAAGGGGGTGTGAGGCCCGGGCGAGTGGAGTGAGACCTCACCGGGGCGGCTCCGCGGGAGGAGCCGGAGGGGGAGCGCGGCCGCCCCCGCGCCGGGCCCACAGCACAGCGGGTCAGGCAGCTGGGCCGCTGCACCTAAAATCGCTACTTTTTGACTGCTGTCAACGCCACACTTCTGAAAGGTGTGGGCGACTCAAACTCTCCCAGAGGGTGAGCTATTAAAGACGTGTGTTCACATATCAAAAGTTGGAAAAGTTTGTTTTTAATGCTTATCGGTACCTCTGCGTTAAAAAGTAGCTACAAATGTCTCCTTACAGTTTCCACGTGAAACGCACAGCTTTCCCTCGTTATGAGGAACCGTTACAGAAAATGCCGATTCCGGGACAGGAGAAACCCATCCCGTCGCGCGGACTGCTGACCGCGCCGCGGCCCTACGCCCGCCGCCGTCATCCCACACTGAGCACCGCCCTCAGCGGCCTGGAAGCCGCGACCGGCCCAGGTGTGCGCCTCCAGCGTCCGCCCTTCCCGTGGGGCCGCACGGCTGTCCCGGGAAGAGCCAGCTGCGCGTGATCTGCCAAAAAAGGACAAGCCATGGGGCGAGCGGCTGAGACGCCCTCGCCACAGAAAGCCAGTGTTGTGACAGGCCACGTGTCATTTACGCCACACGGGCAGCGATCTTCCAAAGAACGCCTGACGTCTGACGACTCCGCGGAATTCAGTCCGCTCTGCGCTGAGCTGCTCCCACACGACAGGAATGTCTCCGCGGCCGGGGCGCTTCGGACCGGGGGGCCCGGGGCTCGTCCTGAGGGAGGCAATCCCAGGCGTGGGAGGACTTGTGTCAGGAGCGCCTTCAGCCCCCCGTCGTGACAGCGTCACGCTCCTGTCACCTGGGGGCCCAGCACACCTCTCAGGCCTGAGCGCTTCCATCGTCCACAGCGTTTCCTCTCCGTTGAGCAGCCCGGATGGAGATGAAAGCTCCCTCCCCCCGCGGCTCTCCCTCCGCTGCGCGCCTCTGGACGAGAGCAGCGCAGGACCGTTTGGCGTAAGAGGCAGGGGGCACGAGGGGGTGGGGGTGGGGGGGGGGCCCGCCGGGCTCCGTGCAGGGACAGGGGCGGGGACGGCCAGAAGTGACTCGGGGCTGAGGTAGAGGGCTAGCGGCCACGGGGACCGCGCTCCTGCACGGGGGGTGGCAGGCGGCCTGAAGGGTCCGGCCCAGCCTCAGCCAGCGGGGGACCGGGGCTGACCGTGCGCAGGCAGCAAGGCCCTAACGGAACACGCGTTCCGGGACATCATCCGCGAGGCGCCACTAAAACTCGGCGAGAACTGAAACATCCTAAGTGTAGGCACTTGAGTCTGCTGGGGACTCCCATGTCAGAGGGCCTTACACACAGCGTGTGGCTCGCACTGCACAGCAGAGTCTTTCAAAAAGGGAAGGACGGTGACAAGTGACGAGCAGGAGGCAGTGAGCTAACGCATTGATGCACGAATCGTATTCCGCAAGGTTTATTCTCCCCACGCTACCGTTTACAACTGGCAACTTTCTGAATGGATAATATTGAGACTCCGCTACTGGTATTTAAGCTATGGATTAAATCGTCACGAAGAGCCAGGCAGTTCCGCAGCGTGTGAGGTCCCAGCCTGGGCAGCCCAGCGAGCATCCCAACACGGTGGGAAGGCTGCCCCGCGTCCACGTGTGGGCGCCCCCGGAGCCCGCGCAGGACTCACAGGACGCCCCTCACGTGGCCGCTCGGCACCATGGCCGCCCCTAGACTCTGTGGACAAACAGAAGCTGGACGCCACACGTTTTCAACACGAGTTTAAGATTTTAGGTGCAATTTGAGGCAAGACCGTTACTGGACTTGGTAACGGTCAGGCAGGGGCAAGCCAGCCGGCCCGGCCCCGGCCCGGCCCCGGCCGCCCACGCTCCGCTCTCCTCCGTGAACGTGAAGAGGGCAAGTATGAACGTGCCGAGCGCCTCGATTCACATCTGAAGCATAATTATCTCACTTTCCAAGCGAAGAGTCAAGCCACCTGCCTACGTCCCGCTTCCTCGGGGCCCAGTTCAGGCACCCGAACCTGGAAACTGACCACAGGCCTCACGTGGGCAGGTGTTTGCCAGGACCAGTTGCTTCTTTATAAAAATTCTGTATGAAATATGTTCACAGACTTCAGGGGACGGGGAAACGCTTCTAATTAATTTTTTCATTTAAACATTGTGCACAAGCTCATGTCAACATAGAAAGCGTATATATTTCATAAATCACAGAAATATTAAAAAGTAGCACTCTGGTTTATCAGCTCATGTTACACACGTATTTAGACGAGAGAACATATAAACCTACAGCAACAGAGAGGACATACCACTATCCGAGAAAACAAACCAAAAAAACCAGGCTGTGGCAAAAAAATATTTAGTCCCTTTACACATATCTCCATTCTTCATTAATGCAAAACAATGTAGTAGTGGTTACGGAACGTCAGAGTAAATCAGTATTACGATTAAGACTGTTAATCTCTGAGAAGAACTCGCAAATGCACGTGTTCATCTCAGACTTAGTTTTCTTGAAGCAGTGGTAGAAGTTTCTCCTTAAATGTACTTTAAAAAAAAATTTTCTTTTTTATTTTAAGAAAACCAGCCAAACCTTCAAAAGTAGTTCGGCGCTGCAGGGCTAGCAGGCACGCGAGCCACGACTGAGGCCCGGTCAGCTCCGGGGCCTCACTCCGCTCACGGCTCAGCATCTTCCCCGCAGGCGCGCATCCGTGGGGCCGACCCGGCAGCCGCCAGCCGCCGGAGGCCGCGAGCCGCCCCTCCCGTCACCGGCAGGGCGACGGTGTCCCTCCCCGGGGAGGGAGTCTCCGCAGGAAGTGCGTGCCAGGGCCCGGTGCAAGCTGGCCACCAGAAGCGGGGCTGCTGGAAGCGGGGGGCGTTTCTGAACGAGGGCGGCGCAGCTGTCTGAAACAGCGCACGCGGGAAGAGCGCGAGTCCGCCACCACGCCCCGGCGGCCGTGACCGCGGCCGGACAGAGAACGGGCCGCTGCCCTCAGGACACCCCGTAGTGCGGAAACCGGTAAAGCTTTCAGTTAAGGCCACGATTTTTCAGCTCTCATCTTTAAACCCTGTTTAGAAAAATTTTGCCTTTTCTTAAAGGGCTAGCTCCCTAAAAATACAGCTTAGCTTTTCAAAACAAAACAAAACAAGAGTTGGAGCCAGAGGATCCTGTAATCTGTGAAAACTGCGCACGGAAGCCCACAGCCACTTACCCTTGAGTGCGGCCAGCGTCCCGCTGCGGGCGTGCTTCCCGCGGACACTGCGCTGCCGCAGGGGGCGCGGCTTCCCCAGTGTCCCGGTGCTGCAGGCAGAGCGGGGGCCCGATTCCTGTCGCAGGGGCCACGAGGCACACGGCCCGGGCCGCTGCCGGGCGCCCAGTGACCTCGATCACAGTCTGACACACCGACGCCCGCATGGAATCCTTGAAACGGGGTCAATGGCACCAGAGCCCTTAATCGTTCAGTCTGTTGCCGCAGGAAGACGGGAGGGCCAGCCCTGCTCTGGGTGGGGCAGGCTGGCGAGCGGAGCGGCTGCCGGGAGGTGACCAGGGGGCTCACTAAGAGACGCCCCCCAGAGTCAGCACGTCAAAGCAGATGTTGCAAACCCGCACAGGCTTGTTCAGATCAAACTTGATAATAGGAATCTCCTTGGTCGAGCATTTATGGCAGAGAAGGCGTCCGCAGTGACGGCTGTGGAGGCAAAACAGGGCGTGACGGGGCGGGGGGGCCGAGGAGCGGCTGGAGGGGCCCAGCCCTGCGGTGCTGGGGGGGACGCGATGCCCACGCGGGCAGGGAGCCGGGGCCCCCCTCAGCGCCCCGCCTGGCCAGGGGGTGCACGGGGCGCTGGGGGGTTCCCGCTGGTCGGGGGAAAAGGAAGGAGCAGCGACACGGCAGAAGCCCTGCCTCCCCGGCGCCACGAGGGCCTCACCAGTGATGCTTGCGCGTCGTGACTCCGAACTTGGCGGCGCACTCGTAGCAGGTGGAGCCGTCGCACCACGGAGGCTCCTTAGACAGCATGTCTGTAACCCAGGCGGAGAGGGCCGGCCCGTCAGGGTCACCGGCAGGGCAGGAGGAGGGGTCGCGGGAGCAAGGAGCACAGCGGCGCCGAGGCGGCTGTGCAGTGTGGGCGCGGGACGAGAGGGGCAGCACTGCGCGCGAGGCCGCGGCGGGAGTCGTGGAAGCCTGGCGTGTCCGGGCCGCGAACGGCTGGCGTCACTCACTGAACGCCAGCCCTGCCCGCCTGGGCCCGAGCTGGCAGGGGGGGAGCCGCGCGTGGGTGGTGTCGGCCCCGCCCCGTCCACCCACGCGGGCTCCGGTGGCTCCGCTGCAGACTGTCTGCTCTGTGACGCGGGGCGGGTGGCTCGCTCCTCTGCCCAGACCACGGGGCTAACAACCCTTCTCTGTGGCCGCCTCCGCGGGGGCGGGAGGGCACTTGCGAACAGAAAGCCACCCAGGGGCCACTGTCCTCGCCACGAGGGCACAGAGGAGGAGCCGGCAGGGCTGGAAGGGAAGGCCACTCGGAAGGCTGCGGGGACCCTGGCTCCGCGGAAGGACGAAGGGTGTGCAGACGAGTGGCCAGAGCCACGCAGGGTGACCACCCTCACGAACCGAAGCGTTGGGGACCTTACGGACCTCTGGCAGGATCGGGGACACGGGCTGACGGGGGCCATGGAGCCACTCTGGAAAGCGGCTCAGGTCATTCTGGGGTTCAGAGGTCACCAGGGCATGTAAACAACCGACACCATGCCTGGGTCTGCGCTGGAGGAGCAGGAAGTAGCCACTCACCCAACAGTCTGAACAAAAGCTGCTTGGTGGCAACTTGGTAGTTGAAAATGTTCACTCCTTGGTTATTGTTGACCCCAAGGCGAGCCCCAGAGCGGACGATGGCACGGCACAGGTTGGCATTCCCCTTCATGTACGCCAAGAGCAGCACTGGACAACAAAAGCACGAGGAGGGCTCCTTCCCACCCGAGCCCGGCCTGGTGCTGCCTAAAGGCTGGCAGGGTGTGTGTCCGCGAAGTCCCCACGGACCACCAGGGGGACGCGGGACGGGCCCAGCCCCAGGACACGCTCGGGAGCGCAGTGAGCGGGGACCAGACACTGAAGGACAAACGTGCTGTCCCGGCTGCCTGCCTTCGGCCCAAGCTCGGCCGGACAAAGCTCTGGTCACACGACGTGACTACACCTGGAGACCGTGACACGTGCACACTGGTGCTTCCGCCCCAGCGAGGCCCGTGGGTGCCCGGCTCTGGCCAGGCCCCCCCTCTGGCTGGCGGCTACACTCACGGCAGCTCCTCTGCTTACCTCTCCTGGACCCCGCACTTCAATTCTTTCTCCTAATTCTCTACACGGTCCAGTTGGACACGAGTTATTATTTCAGAGGAACCAAGGGGCAGAGAGAGGGTACGACCCAGGGTCACCTGCCAGAACTGGACAGAGGTAGGTGTCTGTAACTCAGACCAGAAGTGCCTGCCTGTGGGCCTCCCACCTCCCCGACAGTGGCTGGAGGGTATGCTGGGCCCCCAGCTCACTCCTGGGGCCGACTCCCTCTAACTCAGGCTTGTCACGACCAGCTTGAAAAAAAAAAATTCATGGGGGGCACCTGGGGGCGCAGTCTGTTAAACAACCGACTTCGGCTTAGGTCATGATCTCACAGTTTGTGGGTTCAAGCCCCGCGCCGGGCTCTGTGCTGACAGCTCGGAACCTGGAGCTGCTTCCGATTCTGTGTCTCCTCTCTCTGCCCCTCCCCGACTCCTGCTTTGTCTCTCTCTCTCTCTCTCTCTCAAGATGAAGTAAATATTAGAAGTTAAAAACAAAACAAAACACTGAAGCCAAGAACTAATGACAAAATATTTGGTCCTGTGCAAAGTAAGGTTCAGGACGCTCCTTGGTGACGACGTCTCTGCCAAAGGCCAAGGGAGGCTCTGTGTGGCAGGAGGGCGTGGACCCGGAACATGGCAGCAGTGTGCGCCTCACCTCCAGCTCCTTACTTGAAAAATGGGGACGCTTCACCCACAGGTGGCTGTGGGGATCCAACAAGAATACAAATGCGAAAGTCCATGTACAGAATGACTGAAGCCACACAACCTAACACAGCGACTGGGCAGCTAGAGCAGCACCAGGCCAGGGGCCTCATGGGTTTATCACCTGCCACTTTTTCACAGCCTGTCAACACATATGCAACACACTCCGCCTCCTCGGAAGCATCTGCAGGGTAAGCAGGTAGATGGGGACGGTCGGAACAGATGGGCAGGCCTGTGTGGGCCCGGGCACGGCTCTGCAGCGCCGGAGACCCTCCGATGCATGTGTCTCCCAAATCAGACACTGCCAGACTCGACGACAGGCATCGGGGACAGATGCTCAGAGCCCACCCGAAATGCGCCAGGCGAGTGCCCCTCCATGACGGCTGGGTGCCCGGGCTCTGGTTTCCCCAGGAAGCAGGGACCATGTGACACAGGGCTTGCAGGCACCGTATTACACACCCGTGTTTCCTTCTGCGTCCGGTTTATCCAGAGGGTACTCAGGCATGCACTCCAGGAAGAGCTCAAAGATGGTTGCTGCGTTCTCTTTGCCGTACTGACCCAGGATGTGCAGGGGTGACTGGCCTCTGACGAAGCAAAGTGGACACGTTAGGTACAGACCTGCCACGCTCATCACGCACAGAAGAGGTAATTTTCTGGATCTGTGATGCTGGACAAATTTAAGGACATGTAATCGATCATAAAAGGTTTTCTACAAAGTATTTTTCAAAATGAACATTTCCAAGGTACCAAGCTGGTCCCAATCGTGCCGTGGGCACTCGGGCTACTGCAGGCATAGTGACCGCCAGCTCTAAGGGTCATCGCTAGGTGACGAGGAGCCCAGGCCTCTGCTCGGGAACACAGGCTCTCACCGCAGATTGAAGGCTTCGGCGTCCACGGTGCACTCGGTCAGGAGGACCCGGATATTGTTGAGACGCCCGTGCATGGCCGCCAGATGAAGAGCTGGAGAGCAAACCCTCTTACTGTGCAAGCCCAGAAGCCCATGTGGAAAATCTCGACTGCTCACGAACCGCCCTCTAAACAGGACACAGCCAGAGCAGCCACTGTCCGCTCACAGGGCCGTCCTGTCCAGGCCTCACCACCCCCAGGGCTCCGTCATTAATGCAACCTCATAACACTTTGCTTTCTCCTTCCACGGTGACCCGAGGGTGAGACGTAATGGTTGTGCAGGAAACCGCTGCAGGCTTCTGGGTCACCATGAAGACGTGGGGCCGCCCGGGGATGGTCAGGGGCGGGCGGAGGCCCAGCCCGGAGCACTCCCTGCCACAGCTCTGCTGCCGTGAGAGCCAGCCTTCCTGGGGGGGAGCGGGCCCACAGGCGCAGTGCACCTTCGCCTCCAGGGCGGGGGGCCTGCTGAGGGGACTCAGCACGGGGCACAGGGGAATGACCGGCAACTACCGTTATTTCCGTTCTCGTCCAGGGCAGCAAAGTCCACCGCGTTCTCCAGGAGGACGGAGCAGATGGTGGGCAGGTCGTGCTGGGCAGCGAGGTGGAGGGCCGTCTGGCGGTGCTTCGTCAGTTCATTCACTTTGGCTCCTGCAAGAAGCTGTGGAAGCTGATTACATGAGCGGCCTCCCTCCACAACCAGCCAAGGCCCCGCTCACGGGGGCCCAGTCTGCCCGCCTCCAGGCATCCACACCACTGCCCGGCTGGCAAAGCTGGGAGCGGCGGAGCCTCACACGCACTCGTGGGGGCGCAAGACAGCAAGGCCCAGCGGGCAGAAGCCGGCAGTCACCAGCACGTTAGAGAGCCACTCCTCAGGACGCAGAAATTCTACCTCTGAGACGTCAGGATATGAACCTCCACGGAACCGCAGTGAGTTCGCTGCTCCACGTGCAGATGTCCACTGCTTACAGCAATGAAACCAGGTTGCCAGAGGATTCGGTTATGAAAACTGTACTATAACCAATCCACACAAAGGGGAGCCATTAAGATGAGAACGACTTATGGCTTAATGTGGAAGTCAAAAGAAAGGCAAGTTAGGAGGCGGTACGGCAGTGTAGTTCCATTTGCCAAGAGAGACGTGTGCACACTCACGCCCTCCCTGAAGGCGTGTAAAAGCATCCCCACCACACTCGCTCAAGTCGAGGATGAAGGGGAGACACTACCAGCTTTATACCCTATGCGCGTAAGGTTTTTCCACCATAAGCGTGTACTATTTTTATATTATTTTTTAGAAGAAAGAAATTAACCAAAGAATTACAGAATCAAAAGCAGAAAGGCCCTTCAGACCCTGTCTTGCCCCCTCATTAACCTTCCTCTTCCTGACGGAGTCCCGACTCAGCCGCTAGTGGAGAGAATCTAGCCTGTGCCTCTCCTGAGGCCTGAGGGCCCCCAGGAGGCCGGGGCCCGTTAGCTGCTGCAGTTCCACCCGGACTTCCAGGTCCCAGCCTCCCCAGACCCGTGGGCGCCCACTGAGACCACGCACAGGTCCAGGACACACGGAGGGTGCTGCGTGTCTGAGGGTCCATAGCCAATCGCAAAGCTAGTTAACTGGCAGGGAGGGGAGTGTGGGTAAAGGTGCCGTTTCAATATGAACAGATCCCAGTGTTAAACTGCATGGCCTTTATTTGCAAAATCAGCTGTTTCTAGGGACTCCTATCCTCTGCAAGCTCAGGCCTCAGTGAGGCAGCCACACGGCCTCAGTGAAGAGGCCATCACCCTGCAACCTCTCTCGGCTCTCAGACAGATGGACACGTGGCCCAACTCCCCACTACTCCAAGGCCCACTTCTACCCCCTTGGCTGGTCCCCACACCCAGTCTGTGCCTGGTGTCACCAGACACCCCCCCACCCCCATCCAATCATTCCACAACCCACCTCATGGCCACTGCCTCCCCTCGGCCCCTGCACTGGTGACGCTGCCCATGCCCTCACTCCCCACCACAAAGGTCAATGCTCTTTCAGCTCTAACACTGAACAAGTCATAGATGTTTCTGAAAAGGTATGCCTCAAAGACAAAAATGGCAGAGGGGCACCTGGCTGGCTCAATCGGCAGCACATGCGACTCTTGGCCATGGGGTTGGGAGCTCAAGCCCCAGCCCACGATGGGCAGAGAGCTTACTTAATAAAAAAAACCCTAAAAATAAAATTTAAAAAGGCAAGGCACCAGACGCTGGTCAAGTGCCCCAAAGGGCCGATGGGAGGCACCGGACCCACAGCACTTAGGCGCTGGCCAGGTGACATGAAGCCCGTAGCTCGGGATGCGCATGGGCTTCTCCGCTGCCGAAGGGATAAATGCTGCTCACCGTCCTTGCTCTGAAACATCACCCTCTACCACCTCTCGAACCACGCCTCCTACACTCTCCCCAGATTTCAACCAAACTTCGCTAGTGAAAGTACATCACAGGCACTTTCCAGGCTTGCATCCTGGCTTAGACCGTTCCGGCCCGGGGGCATTATATTCTACTGGAAAAGACAGGCTTTGGGGTCAAACAGAACTGGCTAAAATCCCAGCCACACTACTGACTCCCTCATCATCTTGGCAGGGGGGGGTTCTTTCTGAGCTTACATTTTCTCCTGCGTAAAACAAAAAACTTTCCCACGCCTCTCTGGTTTTGAGAACTAAGGGGCGGTAAGCTCCTTGACATCAGTCTTGGTGTTGATTTTTGGGATTTGACTCCAAAAGCAAAATTAACAAGTGGGGCCACAAACTAGAAAGCTTCTGCCCGAGAAAGAAAAGTGCCAACAAATGAAAAGGCACAACATACTGAATGGAAGAAAATATGTGCAAATCATGTATCTGGTAATGGGCTAATTTCCAAAATACACACACAAGGCATGACAACTCAATAGCAAAAAAAAAAAAAGCAGGGGCGCCTTGGGGGGTTCAGTCTCTTGGGGGCCTGGGTCTTGGTTTTGGCTCAGGTCATGATCCCAGGGTTGTGGGACTGAGCCCTGCACTGGGCTCTGTGCTGAGTGTGGAGCCTGCTCGAGATTCTCTCCCTCTCCCCCGCGTCCACGTGCCTGCTCGCTCTCTCTCTCTCTCTGTTTCAATAGCAAAAAAAAAAAAAAAAAAAAAACCACCAAATACAATTTAAAAACAGGCAGAAGGCTGGGGCGCCTGGGTGGCTTAGTCAGTTAAGCGTCCGACTTTCGCTTAGGTCATGATCTCACGGTTTGTGGGTTCGAGCCCCGCGTCGGGCTCTGTGCTGACTGCCAGCTCGAAGCCTGGAGCCTGTTTCAGTCTGTGACGCCCTCTCTCTCTGACCCTCCCCTGCTCACTCTCTCTCTCCTAGAAATAAATAAAAATATTAAAAAAAAAAACAAAAAAAACCAGGCAGAAGGACTGGATAGAATTTCTCCAGAGAGGACACACAGGCAGCCAACAGACACGTTAAGAGACGCTCCCTGTCACTCATTGGGAAAATGCAAACCAAAACCACAGTTAGCTGTCACCTCAAAATGACTAACACCCACAACACGAGAAAGCCCAAGTATGGGTGAGGGCGTGGACAGGGGCCCTGGTGCACTGCTCGGGGGCTGCAAACTGGAGCAGCTGCTCTGGAGAACATTGTGGGGGCTCCTCCAAATACTAGAGGCAGAGCGACTACGTGATCCAGTAATTCCACTTCTATGTGTTTATCCAAAGAAAAAAGACAATTTTTTTTTAATAGAGAAGAAAGCTTATTGCGTATACTGGGAAAAAAGCTTTAAAACGCCTTTACTATCACACAAGCCAACCAACCAACCCACCCAACCACCACCTTAACTTTGACAATCTCAGCCTCTGCACGAGTCCTCCGCAGAAAGGAGAGGGAGCCACCTCCAGAGTCTGGGGATCGGGACCCACCTTGCACTGTACACCTGGGGCCCGGACTGCCCCCCGCCCCTCCCTGCCCAGCCCCCAGCCTGTGCCAGCAGCCTGCAGACTGTGCTCCCACAGCCCACGTGCACCAGGCCACAGGGGAGGGCTCCAGGGCCCGTGCACGTCCTGTGTCCCTGGAAAAACACTGCTCTGAAAAGTTGTCTGCACCCCCGTGGTCAATGCCGCATCACCTACAGCAGCCAAGATATGGAAACAAACCAAGTGTCCACTGATGGATAGGTGCGTAGATAAAGATGTGGTATATACAACATGTAATGGAATATTATTCGGCCATAAAAAAGAATGAAATCTTGCCATTTGTAACAACCCGGATGAACCCAGACGACATTTCACTAAGTGAAATAAGTCAGACAGAGAAACAAAAATACTGTACGATCTCACTTATATGTGGAAACTAAATAGCAAGCCAAAAAGTCAAACTCACAGATACAAAGAACAGACTGACGGCCTCCGGGCGGGCAGAAGTGTGAAATGGGTAAAGGGGGGCAAAAGGTACAGACTTCCAGTTACAAAATACGTAAGTCCCAGGCATGTAACATAACAGCATGGGGACCACAGTTAATAATACCACACTGCACATTTCAAAGTTGCTAAGAGTATTAAAAGTCCTCATCGTAAGAAAGAAACTTTTTAACTATGTGTGTGACGGGTGGTAAGTAAACACACTGCAGTGATGTTTGCAGCACATACAAATATCACATCACTATAATGTGCACCTAAAACTAATATAATGTTTTGTGTCAATTATACCTCTATTTAAAAAAAAAAACGGCGAAAAAAACCAGGGAGAGACAGCAGGCTGGAGGCCCTGAAGGCCAGCGCAGGGCGCAGACGACAGAGGTGGGCCTCCCTCCCCTGACGCCCTGGCGGCCACGGCCACCCAAGTCCCGCCTTCCCTCAAGGCCTCACTCGAGCACCTGCCTGCACAGGCTGCCTGCTGGGCTCTAGGGACACGCCACCCCCTGACACAGCTGCTCTCCGGAGGGCACTGGCTTAGTTTCCCGAATTCATGCCGGCCTCTCACAAAACCTGGCAAAACACCGGTGATGAGAGCTTCCACGCACCACACATGTGCGGTCCACGTGTTAGGCGCAACGTTTCGTGGGCACTTACCAGGTTGCGGACGATAATCTCTGAACCTGCTTGGACAGCGAGGTGCAAAGGAGTCAGCTTGGAGGCGTCCTGAACTCTGGAATTCACATTGGCCTGGACACTGATCAGGAACAGGACGCTTTCGATATCAGAGTTCTGGACGGCCACGTGAAGAAAATTCCGGCCCTTGTTATCCACCTGAGGCAACAAGCGGGCGACTCCTGAGCACTGGCAAGCTGCACTGGCCACGGGAGACGTGATGGCGTGGCCACCCCCTCGCTTCCAGGAGGCTCCCTCCCAAGACCCTCTCTGCACACGGACGGGTGTGCCCGACTACGTGTGCATGGCCACCTGCCCGTGGCTGGGGAGCCCACGGCACAGGGCCTCCAGAAGCATGGACTTGGACAGTTAAGACAGAGACAACGTGCGGGATGGGAAGTGGAAGGGGTGCTCTGACGGGACGAGCACCCAGCACCCTAAAGTCACGACTGCAACACCAGCCTGACCCCTGAGCGGTTTCAGAAAGTCTCCTGTTTACGGAGCTGCAGGAGACACGCACTTCGGGGGGACAGGCCGGCCGTACGCCGCAGACTCTGCTCCGCGCACCAGACGGGAGCTGTCGGTCAGCGAGGGCTCCCGGTGTGGGGTGGCTGCGCACCACACTCGCCTCACACACGTACGGCCCGAGCACGTGCTGCTGACGTGAGCGGTGTGGCTCCCGAGGACTCGGACCTACAGGCCCGTGCCACACGGGACGGGAGGGGACGCAAGCACCGATGCCCCCCGAGCAAGGGTGAGGCCGGCCCCCACACACGCACATCACACGCAAACGCCAGCCCTGGGGAGGCCGAGCAGTGGCCTCTGACTGCGTCGGGACGTCGTCTGTCCCACGTCTGTCTTCAGGGGCTTACTCGTGAACTTGGCAGCGCTCCTCAGGCCCGAGACCCCGGTCCTGCCCGGGCGCTCCCCACCCAGCCCTCCCTGCGGGGCAGAAGGTCGCCAGCCAGGCTGGGCAGCGGCTGGAGAACCCAGAGCAGGTCAGGCCTGAGTCTGCTCAGCTGAACGATGCCAAGTCCTCAGACACTTTCCCCAGAGGGCTGCCCCCGCGTCACACCAACGGCTCAAGTTCCGTTTAGATCTCAGCACGACCCTGACTTCCAGGGCCCTGAGACCACGCAGAGGCATAAGCGACATCACGTGCGCACACCACAGAGCTCCTCGTGCGGGACAGGCCGCCTCTAGCCTCCCCGGGGCATGTGGCACCACCACGTGCCATTCAGTTCCTCTCAATGGCCAGACTTCAAGGACAGGAGTGTCATTTCAGAACAAAGGTCCTCACATACGACAGCCTTGTGCGGCTGGGGCTTCTGCTGAGGCTCACGTAACGGGTTCTGCTGAGCTCGGGCACCGTGCAGGGTACTGGGGGCGGGTCCCTCACCTGCTCGGCAGCCCCCGGCTCTCGCTTGAGGATGGCCTCGGCTGCCCGGTTATTCTTGTAGGTCATGGCACAGGCAAACGGGGTCAGCCCCTGTCTGTCGCGGACATTCAGGTGGACGTCAGGGTGGGAGACCAGCAGCTGAATGATGACGCTGTGCTGGTTGCTGATGGCCACGTGCACAGGCGCCCTTCCTTCTGCATCCTGTGGGGACAGGCCGCAATTTCAGGGTCCAAATGAAAGGGGAGACCCAGGAAAAATATGAAGGAGAATAACTTTCAAATGGAATTTGGTTCTAAGATCCAATACTATCGCTGTGTGTTGGAAATGAGCTTTTCAAGAGGCCAAGCCCAGAGAGGACTGCCAGCCGCCGTCAGGACCCCCGGCTCCAGTGCCCAGGGACACAGACACACTTCGCTTAGAAGATGCGCAGTCAGCCCGCCTCTAAGTCACACTTCCCATCCGGCTGCGGGGCAGCAAACGTCAACCCCCACAGGCCAGGACACTGAAGAGCATCCATGAACATAACTGAGCTCCTGGAACATTCTCCTAAACACAGTGCTCAGCATGAGATTAGACTCATAGAATCACATAACCGACAGAGATAAACGGCAAAGGAAAGCTGACTGAGAAAATCCTTCTTGTGCTGTAGAAAGAACAAAGACACAGAGGAAGTCACTCCATCTGTCTGTCCCTCAGCCCTACCCAAGGCCACGCCAAGGCCCAGGACTGAGTCTGCGAGGCCCCTCGCCTTAGATATCCCTACTTCTGGTTCAGCATCTACCTCCTTGAAAAAGAAACGCTCTGTACCTGTGTGTTTACATTGGCACCAAATTCCAGAAGACACTGCACCGTCTCTTCCAGCCCCCAGGAGGCTGCCAAGTGCAAGGGGGTTTGTCCGTCTCTGGCCTCCTCCTCCCCTTCTCCGTTAGCACCGGGCTGTCTGGGACTGTTCACGTCACAGCCGCTGAAAGCAAGGGGGGATGGAAGGCAGGATTCAAGAGCCAGGCTCCCCAACCAGCCGAAGGCACACTGACAAATGCACAGCAGTGGCCTCCCAAAACGTAGTGGGGACGCAGCTGCCGCCAGGCCTGAAGGCTGGGCTCCGCCCCCATCGATTCTTCTGGTCTTGGGGGAAGCCCGGGCATCAGAACTCTTAAAAGTTCCCCGGGATATCCGTATGCAATTAAAATTTGAGAAATGGGGCACCTGGGTAGCTCAGTCAGTTGAGCGTCTGACTCTTGATTTCAGCTCAGGTCATGACCCCAGAGTCGTGGGATCAAGCCCCACTTAAGATTTTCTCTCTCTCCTGCTATTCCTCTCCCCCACTCGTACTTGCTCTCTAATAAGTGAAAAAGTAAAAAATCAATAAACTTTGAGAAGCACTGCTCTACAGGTCCCTTCCACGCAAAGCGCCACTGAGTGAGCCACGGGCCTCCCAGGATCGTGCACTTGGTGGCGCCCTGCAGGGGCCATCCGGTCGCCTCCGCCCCCGCCTTCTGCCTGCACTGGGCCAACTGGTCCGACTGGACCCCAGGAGCCCCTGTGCTCCCCCCACCCTCCCAGCGGGAAGCTGGCTCAACGTCTCGATGCTGCTACGTGGGCACATGAGCTCCTCTCCTCACAAGGGGGTCAAGTTCCCTTAACTGGCTGGCTTGACGGAGCGGTGACCCCCCGACAGCCTTAGCCGGGAACGTCCGACCAGCCAAGGCCTGCCAGGCACAGCTGGCTGCGGCCGGGTGAGTGAGAGGGGCCGCCTGCGGCAAGCTGAATAAGGCGGCGCAAAGGGACGTGTGGGCCGCTCAGACCTGCGGATGAGAAAGCAGGCCGTAGACTCGTTGTTCTCGTCGATGGCCCTGTGCAGGAGCGTCTGAAGGCACCCGCCGGGCCCGGGGCCCCAGCACGTGGCGTCGCAACCGTGTCTGACCTGCAGAAAATACAGCACTCAAAAGACGGCCCAGTAGAGTCAAAGATTTTATTCCACGTAGAGCCTCAAATGCATTTTTTCAGGCACGATACAGTGGAGGGTTGGCTATTCTACTCTGTATCATTCGTTAGTTCTACACTCACTCACTAAAACGTGCTCTGCCCAAGTTCTCACAGCAGGTCCTATGGGATGGGTTTGGGAAATACGAGACAGGTTACCGGGGCCCTCAAGAGCCACGTCCTACGAGGGGCAGAAAGCACCTTCCATCCTGCCCTCGGCAACACACCTGCAATGAACAGCTGGCCCAGACCCCCAGCTGCACGATGCCTTAACGTCCTCTCAGAAAAGCTAAGGGCGGCCTTCCTGGGGCCTGTCCTCTGAGCAAGGCAGGCAAACCAGAGGTCTGGGGCCTCATCGCCGGGGTAACAGCAAGGGCAGCCACACCAAGCACCTTCTCCAGGAGACGACTCCCAGAGACGCCAATTCTCCAGCTACTGGAAGGCATTTCCATAAACAGCCTAAAAAACCGTGCTGGCCAAGATGACGCTGAACTCCAAGTATCTTTAACGGGACGTTCACTGCTCACCCCGACCCAGCTGGCTGCTCGGCAGGGCTCTCGCTCTTGCCACCACCCCACAGGCACCAAACGAGTCTCTGACACAAGACCTCCCCACGTGCAAACAGAGGCTAAAGCTGAGTTGGTCTCACCAGAGTGGACGCGATGTCCTCCAGGTGATTCGCCAGCGCAAGCCACAGCGGGGGGTCCCCCTTCTCGTCCGGCACAGACATGTCCGCCCCTCGCGTGCATATGGCGTCCACGACGAGCGGGAGCTGGTTCCGGATGGCCAGCTGCAGGGCCGTCTCCCCTTCCTGAGTCCTGCCGGGACAAGCGCACCCAAACCCACGTCTGCAGCTGGACTCAAACTAGCACCCCCACCCTTGTGGGCGTTCCAGAGCCAGAACCCACTGGCCGCTCCAAGCCCCTTGCTCACATTCATGCCCTTTCACACTTGAGCATGTCAGCAGCATCTGCGCCTTCCGCCTCTTGGGGACACAGCCGTGCCCTCCTTCTGCACCGGGAAGACACCTGCCCCCCGCCCAGGCGTGCCAAAACCTCTCGAGCGTACACCTGCCTCCAGGAACATCTCAACAAAACGCCACCCCAGCTGCCAACTTGACAAAACCCTTCTTTAACATTCAGTCATTCAGGGCCACCTGACACTGGAGATAAAGATAAGTTCCTTTGAAAATGCAAAACAATACCAACTTAACTCTGTATTTTTCCCACAAGCCGTTTTAACAGCTCATTTGTTGGAATGTTCTTTGTCATGCACGAAACTCTCTCTGAACAACTGCTTCTGGACTGTTTTTTGTTTTGTTTTGTTTTTAATTTTTTTAAATGTTTTATTTATTTCTGAGAGAGAGAGAGAGACAGCATGAGCACGGGAGGGGCAGGGAGAGAGGGAGACACAGAATCCGAAGCAGCTCCAGGCCCCGAGCCGTCAGCACAGAGCCCGACGCGGGGCTCGAACCCACCAACCGTGAGATCATGCCCTGAGCCGAAGTCGGACGCTTAACCGACGGAGCCCCCCAGGTGCCCCTTCTGGAATGTTCTTTTAATGAGCTTTGTGCGATACTGTGCACGTGCCCCAGCCCACAGGCATACGCGGCGCTCAGCGAGCCGGGCCCCAGTGCTGCGCCGCCGCGGCGGTCCTGGCCTACCGGACGCTGATGTCCGCCTGGTGCTCGAGGAGGAAGAGGGCGCTCCTGCTGTCCTGCCGCCGCATGGCCATGTGCAGCAGGGTCTGCCCGTCTGACATGGCGTCGTTGATGCAAGCACCGGAGCCCAGCAGCTGCGCTGCAATCGTGTGCATGCCTGGGAAACAGACCGGCCCCGACTAGCACCCACTTGGCGGTTCCCACTCCCTCAATGTGTCACTGCAACTAACACAGCCTCTCGACCTCTCAAGGCCACTTTTCCGCTGGGTATTACAGGCTCAACCCTCACGCCTCCCTCCCCTCCCCCTGCCCAGAGCTCAGCAGCTCTGGCTCCTCCCTACCGGTCCATAACGCCAGGCCCAGTACAGTCTGGTCTCGGGAATCCTTGAGGCTGAAGTCTGGAATGATCTGCAAGTTGTTGGTGGCATGAAGAGCATTCGCTAAAATTTTTAAAGGAAAAGAACATTGGATTTCACCATCCCTTGGATCACATTTAAAGTATTTAAGACAATAAGAGCTCACTCTCCAACTGACTGACTAGCTATAACAAGCCCCTCTACACAAGCAGAATTCATAAATCTGGTGGGGACTGGAAGTCAGAAACCCGGTATTTTGGAGCAAAGCTTACAGGGAAAATAAGGGCTTTTAAAGCTTAAAATATCGCATTTTCCCAAAAGGAGAATGCTGCCGTGAAAACACACAGGTTACCTGATTGCTGACGAGAGGCTCAAAACAATGCCCAGGACGTTTTCCAGGTGCATAACTCCTCCCATCTTATCACTGCTGGGAGGGCTAAGAAAAGACACATTCTACCTAAAGTCCCACTGCTGTCCCCAAGCTCGCTGCTAAAACATGCTGGCCTCGACAAGGACACAGGCCAGAGGGGGACCCAGGGATGGCCTCCCGAGGGAAGCGAGGCCCCCGTGCTGGGGCTCCCCGGGCCCACCTGCCAGGGAGACTGAGGCAGATGGGCATCCTCAGACACCTCTCACGCCAAGGCAGAGCTTTGGGAAAACACCCAACAGAAGGGGGAGAGAGGCAGGCCCCATCCTGACAACATACACGGGGCCACGCAGCCATCCAGCCAGACTTCGTGCCGCTCCCGTCTGACCTGACAGGGCTGGGGGTAAGAAGACTCACCAATGGAAGGAACATCAGCTCCGTAACTAGCGACTCCACACTACTGTTCAAAGGTCAAGGAGAGGCCGTTCCCAGCCCCCTACCTTTCTGCTCCAGGATGACAGACACCACGTCCGGGTGATTGTGGGCAATCGCCATGTGCAGTGGCGTCTGCAGGTAGATGCTGTCCCCTGCGCCGGCCGGGGACGCGGCCTCCTCCGTCTGCAGGTTGGGGTTGGCGCCCTGCTGCAGGAGCTCCGCGGTGAGGCTGGCCAGCCCGTGCCGACAGGCCGTGTGCAGCGGGGTTTCTCCCTGGGCGGAAGCAGACGGGCCACTCAGAGCGACTCGGGCCAGGAATCCCCGTGACAGAGGGCTAACGGCAGCCTGTGCCCGGAGACCCCGGTCCCCAGGGCAGATACGGCCCTGGGCCCATCCTGTCACCAGCTGACCATGACTCGTCACACTCCTGGTCTGTCCCTCCCATCCCTGCGCCATCACCCTTTGTTTCTTAATGTCCACCCCCGTGCCCTCCAGACACGCCCGCGCCTCCTCTGCTAAATGTCCTATGACCTTCTTAACCCCCGTTCGCTCTGCGTTTATGACTATCTTGCTAATTATAGAAACAATTAATTAAACAACAGCAACAGACAACCCCCAAGCACTGAAATAAGCCCCGTGCAGGCTGGAAGAGCCGGGACCGTGGCCCTGTGGTGATAGGGCCCCACCACAGGGTGATCTGGCCACCTCGCCCACTGGCCCGTCCCCACCAGCTTCTGTGACCGGCTCACACCAGCCCCACCTCGAACCCTCATCAAGGCTTCCTTCTCCCACTGCTTAAATTAAAAACACTTCAGGTTGGCCCTACACATACTTGGTTCAATATTCAAAGTGACAAGAACATACGTGACAAGTCTGTGCCCTGCCCCCACGGCCCGACTGTCCCCCTTAAAGAACCCTCAGTGTCTCTGCAGGGACAGAACAATCAGAGACGCGCACACACAACGTCTTTTCACCCAAACAACCGGAAACAAACTGAACACATCGCTCTCTCCACACACCTCACCCATTTAAAGAGTCCGAGAACTCTACGAGGCTCGCTGTGAAACAGACCAAGTTCCTACTCTTTTTCCCTGAAAAATGCCCTCTCCCTTCCTGGAGGGGCCAGAGCTAACTCTCACTGGGCTTCTGGAACCTCCGAGTTTCTTTTCTGTCCTGAGAGAGTGAGCGAGCGTACGAGTTGGGGAGGGCAGAGGGAGGGAGAGGAGAATCCCCAGCAGGCTATACTCTCAGCGCAGAGCCAGATGTGGGGCTCGATCCCACAACCTGAGATTGTGACCTGAGCTGAAATCAAGAGTCAGACGCTCACCTGACTGAGCCATCAGGCGGCCCTGAAATCTCCATATTTCTAACTTTTTTTGTTGCCACCACTTGGGTTTCCAGGCTCAGCCACTGTCTGTGGACCGGCCACTGCTATGTCGCTGTGGAGAGACCGCCAGGTGTCCTGTGTCCGTGCAGGACAGGACTCTGCCCCCCGCGCCCCTCCCCACATGTGGAGAATCTCACAACGGTGTCCTCCTCCGTGGGGCCATCTTCCGCTCGGGCCTCCTCCCTGACACGCTCACGCAGGGAGCGCTCACGCACACCCAGGAACCCCAGCAGTGTGTACAAGCACAGAACTCTGACTTCAGACTCGCACCCCAACCCCGATCTCCCCACCGCCTTCTGTGCAGCCCTGTTCAACAGTCACAACGTGGAATTCACTGTCCCCGAGGCAGCCGCTCCTCCTGGCAAAACCCTCCTTCCCCCCGTGGGTCCCACGGTGTCCCCTGCTGCCGACAGGCGTGCAATTCTGCACCTCCTCCGAAAGCGGTCCCTGTGCCTCCAGGCTCCGTGTCTGAGGTCAGGACAAGTCGCTGCTGGTCAGGATGACTCTCACCGCCCCCCCGCCTCGACCTCAGCGGTGCACCTGGCACGCCAGCTTCCCAGGAAGTTCGCTCAGCTCGAATGCCCACACCGTGAGTCTAAAACCCTTCACATGCATCTTCTCTTCCCACAGGAGGAAGTGCAAAGAACTCAACCAGCATTCCAGACCCTTCCCCAATGTCATGGTCACTTGCTTTCAAGTCGGGCCTCTCTGGGCGCATCTTAGGGTTCTCCCAGTTTTGCAATGAAGGGTATCAGAGAAGAATAGCTGGCAGACCCTGTGAGCTCCACAAAGGGTTTGTCAAGCTGGGTAACAGGGCACGTTCGTGCCCCATCAGGAGTGAACGGTAAGCACGTGATGATGCAGAAGAGACGGAGACACAGACAGACACACGATGGGAGGAGCAGAGCCAAGAACGGCGCCGGTGCGCTCGGACGCGCCGTCCCGGCTGGACAGCAGGCTGTGTGCGCGTTCAGGGCAGAGAGTGAGCGGGTTTAACGGCGGAAGGGAAGGGGCCGCCATCTCCCCACACCTCGGCGTGCCTCACACTCAGGCTGACTGGCCACTGCCTTCCTGGAGCGGTTCGGTCCATGTGCAACCTTCCACCCTGGACCCGAGTCCCCATACCGGAGACTCCTAAACCTCAGCGTTCTCTACCCTGAAACGAGGCTCTTGTGGATGCCGGAAACGTCCAGGTCCACTGAGAATTCGAGGGCTAATTTCTTCAAAGCTCTTAGCACGAAGTAGACACGAAATAGATGTGAGCTCAGAGACTAACACAGCCTCCCTACATGAAAATGGCAAAGTGAAAATAACACCACGTGCTCTCCAGCGTCCCAGATTCAAACGCAAACTGAAAAAAGAAACGATTTTTCCTATATATGTGCCACTGCCACTCCCTCCACAAGCCACACGGCTGCCGCGTCACACTCACCCACTTGTTTCTGTGGTTGACGTGGGCTCCGCTGGTCGCCAGGAAGAGGGCCGCCGCCTCGTTCCCGGCCTCGGCTGCCCGCTGCAGGAGGCAGTTCCCTGGGGGACATGGCACACGGTCACGTTCCGCATGCAGACACGGGCCCTCCCCACCACCGCGTACAACCGACAAGCCCACACCGCAAGTCCACACAGGCCCTCTTGACGTGTGGATGCAGACACTGCGTCCGCCTGAGAGGGGCAAGACTCGGTCTGGCCGTCAGGAGACAGTCGCTCTTCCCAGAGTTGCCACTGGACGCCACCAAGACCGGAGGGGGTTACGTCTCCCGCAGGTAGAACCTCTGCGGTGAAGGGACGGCCCTGCCGCCGCAGGACAACTGGATGCCCACAGCATCCCCAACCTTGCCGTAACGAGAAAGTATGTCTACGGAGGTCGCCACGTGCCCGGGGCGGGGGCGGCTGTCTATCTGAGAACCTCTGGGCTTAGAACGACCATTTTGAAGACGTTGTAAGTTGAAGTTCTACCAGAAAACGTCCTTTTATTCCTAAGGCGTTAAATGTATTTGTTCTTGTCTTAGAAATGTTTGTTTAGCGCTGTCTTCTAAACAAAAATCTTAGAACAAAGCAAAATTCTTTTCTTTCCCTCATGAAATGGTTTTAGCACTAAAGCAGTGTTTCTCTATTAAAATCCACTTCCTTTTTGGATAAACACAAAATATCATGTTCTACAGCTATGCTATTTGAAATTTTTTTTTTAATGTTTATTTATTTATGTTTGAGAGGGGGGAGGGAGACAGCGAGTGGGGGAGGGTCAGAGAGAGAGAGGGAGACAGAGGATCTGAAGCAGCTCCAGGCTCTGTACTTACAGCAGTGAGCCTGATGCGGGGCTCGAACCCACAAACTGCAAGACAATGACCCAAGCTGAAGTCAGACTTCAGCTTAACGGACTGAGCCACCCAGGCGTCCCAGCTATGCTATTTGAAAACTCAAATTAAATACCGTAACTAAAACTAGGTAAAGAAATGGGACAAACACGGTTTTCATACTGGTTCCCCTTCTCCCCGGAGACAGCAACTCGGCCCCAGCCATGAGCCACTCTGACGGAGAGACCCTAACAAGCGCCCTACAGTCACTCTGGCGCACACAGGACGTAAGCACGGGTCTCCCTATCGAACAAAGATGACCTTCCACTACTAAAACATCACAGAAATGCTGAGGAACAGTGGACTAAGGCCATTCTCTGTATACTGAAAGATGGAACACAGGAAAAATGGTGATCCTGAACTTGTACTAAAACTCAAAGAATATAAAGTATTGACAGAACAAGACAATGGATAAATCCATAATCACAAGGAAGAATTTTAATATATTCCAAACACTGACGGGTCAAGCAGTCCAACACTTAGTAAGTTACTGTGTATAATTTACACAGCTTGACACCTGCACATAAACATAGGAGAATGGGTCACCCCATGAGGAAAAGATGCACTTTCTTTTCAAGTACCTGTCAAGCTTCTACAAAAACCAGATCTGTAGGAACCTTAACCTTCAAGTCCTAAATATCAAAGAACCAGTTTCTTATATAATGCGACACTCCGATTAAATCAGAAATCAGTAGGACGCCTGGGTGGCTCAGTCGGTTAAGTGCCTGACTTCGGCTCAGGTCATGATCTCACAGTTTGTGAGGTCGAGCCCCATGTCTGGCTCTGTGCTGACAGCTCGGAGCCTGGATCGTGCTTCGGATTCTGTGTCTCCCTCTCTCTCTGCCCTTCCCCTGCTCATGCGTGTGCACACACACACGCTCTGTCTCTCTGAAAAATAAACTTAAAAAAAAAATCTTTAATTTGACATGTATTTAAATTTTTAACTTCTTTCAGGAAAAGGGCTGTTTAATATCCATCTTTTCTTGGCCAGTTTCCCTCATCAGTGGCATCTACCCGTGCTTTATACATCGCAATACTAATTGCAGCGGGACCCTTCTCCTGAAAACGTCCCCATATTTTATTTAGACAGATCAAGGAAACGATCATGTTAAAGCAGTGGTTCTCCAATTGTGGTCTCAGGGTTCCTAGGGTTCATGCAGGTCTTTCAGGGGACCCATGGGGTCAAAACTATTTCCACGATGACAGCCCTTGACGTTTGCTTGTCCCCTGCACTGACGTGTGCACGACGATGTTCAAACTAGGGCCTGAACACAAATAAAGGCGGGGCCTCAAATGTAGCAGCGGCCCCTGGGTGACTTCACCGCCACGCACCCTGTCAAGAAGATAGCTGTTTCACTCAGGGTGGTCCCTGATAAAGCAGTAAAAATTACTAAATTTCTTCAGTTTCAACAACGAGTACCTGTCTTTATAATCCCATGTGACAAAATCACAAGGGTGCACGGGGCTGCATCCAGCCCCGTGTGAGGAAGTACAGGAGCCTTGAGGAAAAGCCCGGAAACCCTGCCCAGGCTGTGCCACTAGCAGTTTTCCTCAGGCTACACCAGCTTCGTGAAAGAACGACTGACTAGCGAACTGTGCTTATCCAAACAGGAGTATCGGCCACTTTCCTGAAAATGAAAAAAGTGCGCTTTTCTCTCCAAGGAAACAACTGGCAATATTTGTACCAAATGACAAAATTTTATCTTGCAAGTGAATATTAGAACTTTGGAAAACTTTTATCCAGGACTGCTAGTTTGACAGCTTCTCAAAAGGAATACTTTCCAGTGAGATTGGTGGTGAAATTAGGAAATGTGATTCAAAAATAAACATTTGGAAGATTTGCGTAAGTCAGCAAACTGGTATTTTTCAAATAATTAATCATGACGTTATAAAATTACATACAGAGAAAAGGTCCATACAAAGCACAGATGGACTAGATGTTAGCATCAGTGATATGGTTCCGGATTCCACACTGCAGCTAACTTCACACTCACGTGGGGACCTCTGCTTGCTTCAGAATCAAAGAAATCTATCCACGATTACCTGAGAAGACGCTAAAACATGCCACCCTTTTCCAACTACATTAACTGTGGGAAAGTATTTTTTCTTCACATACTTTAACCAAAACAATACACATCAAAAGGCTGAATAGATGCAGATATAAGAAGCCAATAACTGTTGTGTTTTGAACATTGTTCTTCATAAAAAATACTTCATAAAAATTACATGTAATAGTTGATTATTTTTTTAATTAAAACATCTTTTAACAATTTCTCAGTTTTAATTTCTAACATGTTAAATACCAAAGCTACAACCCACCGAAACCAAAGCTCTTTTTTAAAAGTGTAAAAGGAGTTGTGAGACTCACCGCAGCAAATAAATGGAAGTGTTTCTGCTTAACAGGCCTGGAGTCTGGCTAAATTTATTTTATTTTTAATTTTACTTATTTAATTTTTTTTTTTTTTTTTTTTTTTTTTTTTTTTTTTTTTGAGAAAGAGACAGAGAGTGTGAGCAGGGGAGGGGCAGAGAGGGAGACAGAATCCGAAGCAGCTCCAGGTACTGAGCTGTCAGCACAGAACCCACTGCGGGGCTCACGTACTGTGAGCTCATGACCTGAGCCGGAGGCACCCTGGCTAAACTTCCTAAAGCGCAAGATTTAACAAAGATAACCCGGGCACTTCCCGTGGGTGCGCACAGCCTGATCGTCACAACAGCACGCCCCCGGCTTGCGGCAGAAGCGCCGGTGTGACGCCTCGTGGCCCCCGACCGCGCCCAGCCCTCGGGGCCGCGCTCTACCTGTCACTGCGTCGGGCGCGTTGGTGTCGCTGCCACGCTGGATGAGTCTCGCTGCAAAGCTGTTTTCATCAAACGACGTCCCGTTCAGCACCGGCACGTCCTCGAAGGGGTTCACAGAGTGGTCGGGGGACACCGTGACGTACTGCACCGCGAGCCACAGGGCGGTGCTGCCTTCGTGGTCCTTCAGCTCCAGGTCGAGCCTGAAAGAAGGAAGCGACGCGGCAGCGAACGTCACCTTCTCGAAACCGTACTGCCCACGGCCTCATTCTCTCTTCAGACGCACTTTGAATGACAATTTTTCTTTTACTTTTACTTAACTAAAACTCACAACATTAAACGACAAAGACCCTTTAAGAGAACTGTTTGTCACCCGACTCCCCGCTGTTTTCTCAAGCCGAGGGTGAGGGTGCGTACCGTTTGCACTGCAGCAGCTGACTGAACACGAGTTCGTTCCTGGCCATGATGCACAAGTGTAAGGGGGTCCTACGGGCGAAGAAGAAGACGGGTCAATGCCAAACGGGCTCCGTGCAGCCCCCGGGCCGATCGCCACCAGCAAGAACCCCGCATTCCTGCAACGGCGTCTCCTGGCGCCTGGCAAACGGCCTTCCAAAATCACGACTAAGTATGAGAGAATGAAAATGGTTTTATGGTTTTGCTTCTATGTTACCATTTAGTCAGCGGCCAAAAGAACAAGAATCAACAGAAGGAAGAGATAGAAAACACTTTCCATTACACGCTGCGGCTCGCTCGCTACCCGTGCTCTCCCACAGCAGCGTCTAGCACACGTACGCGTTTCCCCACCTCCCCGCCACAATCCTGAAAGGAAACGCCTCCCTTCCTATGACTCTGTTCTACTCAAGCACGGTCAGAGCAGCAACAGGCCGGCATCCCAGGCAGGGTTGGATTAAAGTGGCTTCTATTTAGCCCTGAAGGGGACCCCCTGCCGGCAGCCGTCCCAGAGGCCCGGCCACCCAGAGTCACTTTGGCTGGGGAAGTCAACTTAAAGAATCAGCAGAAGAAAAGGATACAGTTATTTGGGGAGACAGAGTAATTATCAAACGATGCTAAGAGTTCACGGAGACCCACGTTACTGGAGTTCGAGATCCGTCACACGCGTTCTTCTCTTCGGACAACTGTGGGGGGCTGTGTTCTCTTGTGAGAAGTTTTTCAAAGATACAAAAATACTGAGCCACGACTATGAAAAGTGGCTCCCGCTTGCTGGCGGTCCCCTTCTGTGCCTCCCACCCCGCTGCCCCAAAGACACGCGGCCCCTTCCGTGGACTCTAAAGCACAGGCATCCTCGACTGGCAGGGGACAGGACGCTCGCTGGGTGCCGCTGCACGAGGCGGACACATGTACCAGAAGCGAGAACCCCACAGTCGGACCTCACGGAAACACCGGGGAAGCCGTGAGACGGTGCGCAGCCCCTCCGAGCCCCTGCCGGCTCTGACGCAGGTGCTGGCGCAGCGTGCCCACGGAGAAGCTGGACCAGTGGCCCCTGCAAAGGGACAGAACTGCCTACAAATCCACGGACCTCAGTTCCTAGCCCAGAAACGATGTCCCCAGACACCTCAGGGCTTCGTCAAGGCCCTCATTTGCCTAACGTGCCAATGTCTGTGACTTCAATGAAAACCAGATTGAATAACAAGCCCATCAGCCAGTCACGCAGAGCCACACAACACCGTTCTGGAAACAGCACTAAGAGCGGCCGTCGACCCCACTCACCTGCCCTTGCTATCTTGCATGTTGGGGTTGGCGCCAGCCTGCAGAACGGCCTCTGCGATCTGGGCCATCTCAGACATCACGTCCGCGGAGTGTTTCTTTGAACTGTACAACGCCACAAGGTGCAACGGGGTCTCCTGGGCACCCAACGTGGCGGCATTGACAAGGGCCCCGTTCTTAACGAGGAACGTGGCAGCAAAGAGATCTCCTTGAAAAGAGACAACAGGAAAACGGTCACACAGGACAAGGGCAGGGCGGGCTACTCCTGCCAGTGCTTCCGCGGGAAGTCAGGAACGCAGACCGGAAGGGGCTTGTCAGCAGAACCTTGGGACGCCTGCAAGTGGAAACTCGTCGTCAAGATCACGGAGTCACGCGCTTCAGCCTCTAACGACCTGCTGCCCGCTGCCCCCGCCTCACACCGCTGCCCAGGACACCAGGCCCGTGGGCACAGAGGCCACTCCTGATCGCCAGCTCTCAGACGGGCTGCACGATGCCCTCAACACAGTCCGCGTCCCTCCCTCATCTCCTGGGCGGCCTGCGCGTAAGCAAGTCTTCCTGCCAACGCGCTGGCACACAGGTTCCCGCCCGGAGTGCGGCCCCCCGAGGGTTATCACACAGGGTTTTAAAATTTTCTCAATCTGTCACATACAAACAGAGCAATCTCAACAAGAAGTTTTCAACTGAATATGTGAACAAAGAATCTGTACAGATTACTATTTATAAAAAATTCACATGGTAAATTAAGTGGCTGTAAAAACACAACTTCTTCCTAAGTCCCTTCCATCGCCTTAACTCTTGGAGCATTTACAGGCGGAAGAATCTGCGTAGGGCGATGTACAAATGCCAAATGAAGTCTGAACAACTTCCACAGAATCCAGTAAGTTCTAGAGCTCCAACTACCGACTTTGACGATGCAGTGCTCGGTGTGAGGAGAAACAGAAGCTACTGTGACATCCTGACAAAAGGCCAAGAGTTAAGTTTACATAAAATATTAAAAGTATACAAGTCTGAAAACACACGGTGAACTTCAGAACCAGGCAATCTGACAGGCAGCAATTTAATGTTAAAAATACTTGTGGAGAACCAGTTGAAGCAGACTTGTCAGGTGAACTTGGGGGGATAAGGATTCATTAGATTTGTTATATAAGGTTACTTACAGTTCAATCTTCCTTGGGTCTAGTCCCATTTACATTTTAAACACAATCACTACACATAAAATTAACGTTTCTTAAGAAAATAAGAACAACGCGTCCTCAGACAATGAACCATGAACAGAGAAGTCACCCAGGCACGCTGCAGCCTGCGTGCACTGGCTTCCGTCTAGCTGCGGGGCGGGGGGCGGGGGAACGGCTTCTGGGGCCTCCAGGCAGCACCCCCGACGAGCTCCCCGCAGGGAAGCCTTCTAAGCCAACCCCCGCCGCCCTGGACAGGCCAGACCTAACTTCCTGTGTGTTACGTGTGCCGCAGCACGTAACTAAGCCATGCCGAGGGACCACCTGGGACTCAGAGGCACCTTCTGTAGGTTCTATCTCCACTTTACCAAGGTCTACAGGATGCATTTCGTGACAATCACATCCTTCTTCAGCTGGAAGATCCGCAAAGCGCAGAACCACCCCCGGGTTCCTCTGGCACCGTGCCAGCCGCAGGCTGAAGTCTGCTGGAGTCTTGGGCTGGACACCAGGTTGTCAAAGGTCACGGATGGTGGGTAGTGGTGCTCCTTCCATAGTTTATCTGTTTTTATCTCTGCAGCCAGACACATTCACTTGTTCCCGAATCTGTTAGTGCTGCAGATGTGTGCTCCTCTGAATCCCAGCTTCCACACGACAATTTTCTCTTACCCAGTCACTCATGAGAAGCTTTCTTTTGACTCTGGCAACATCACTCATCTTCTTCAACTATACTTCTGCATCTCAACATCCAGCATTTCTGGAGGGGCAAAGCTCTCAAGTCTGTTATCTGCGCTTCTAAGCTCATTTTCATCTGCACGTAAGGGTTTCCTCTGTCTTCAGGGGACAGGAAGTGTCAAAATCATCTAGTTTTCAGCACCTCTCATCTGCTCTATGCCTTCTTCCAAGGGCCCAATTTGCCAGAGAAGCTGAGCGCTGGCATGGAGGTGGTTCGGCCGCCACAGGGCCCTCAGATGCTGACCAGTCCATGTCTGATTCATCCTTGCAACCGCCTCTGTCTCATGCAAAACAGGCACCAGGGAAAGATTTGGGAGGAAAACCAACTGACTGGCTCTGATTCCGATGAACTATGACTTTAGGTAACTTAGGGTTTCTCTAACCAGCCCCTTCTTCTGCCCCCAATTTTTTTCTGGGGTCTGGAGGAAAGTGCGATCTTTACCAACATCACACACAAAGGACCACAGATTTCTTCACAACAGGATACTGGTAGAGGTTTGAAAGTAACAGGTAATCTACACATCGGGGACAGGACTGGGCCGGGCCCTTGCTGCTCACAGACGCACATACACAGTGGGCTTCCAGGAGGCCCTGACATGTGGAAGAGCCCCACAGGGATTCAGTCGAAGACGGAATGTATACAAAGATTAACAACAGAATACAACACCCTAGAGAAAATCACTTATATTCTGGAAGTGTTAAGAAAATTCAGGACTGTTGGGACAGAGGGACTTGAAATGAAAAGACCAATGTACATGACGCTGGGGAAGAAGGGTGGTGTTTTCACACCTCTGAGATCGGCACAGATTCCAAACTAAGAGAGAAACACTATAAAGCTGAAACCAGACAGGCTGATGAAAAGCTTACAGTACATCGTGGAAAACAAGCCGGGCAGGCATGCCCCCCGAAACACAGGTTCAGGACAGCCAGCCAACAGCTGGACTACCATGGATAATTACAAAACACAACAACAAAAAACCCACTTTATATTTGAAGCCCTCTTAAAAGAATTAAAACTTTTAGATTATACTTATTTATTAATAAGAGACAAAGATTTTTTTTTAATTTATACAAATATATGCAGTTAATTACATACACCCCTGCCACCCCCCAAAGTTATTTAGGAATTAGTGGAAATAGAAAATTGGTGACGTTTTACATGAAAAGAAAGTCAGCCACTGGGCACTCAGCCCAGAGGGCAAAGAACAGGGAACAGCGAGCAGAACAGAGGACGGGTAGGCAACCCCAACAGCACCACTTGTCAATAAGGAAATTTCTAAAACATCTGAGAAAGTGTTCCAGCAGAAACACTTAAAATAAAAACCGTTTGGTGCTCACAAGCTAGCTACTCCATCAAACTGGTTCAGTCGCACAGCCCGGGGCACGAGGGGTCACTGTGCTGACCTCCACATGAAGGTACTCCCAACAAACACCAACACCAAACCAAAATCCACATCAGTGTCTCCTTCAGCGCGGCCTCCGGGCCGGAGCCGTGTGCAGGGAGGGGGCCCAGGCACCTGCGGGTTCACACGGACGGCCTGGTGCTGCTCCCAGGGGAGGCCCCACTGTGCACAGACTACCCGCTGACCAGCGCTGATGGGAGCTGATTTTTAGAAGGTCACTGCTGATGTTAAACAGCAAAGATTCACCTCTGGGCCCAGACCCGGCTCTTCGGAGGCGGTGGCCACCATCCGGCCACACGGGTCCTCCACGGCCTCATCCGCAGACACTGGCTGCCCATTTCAATCTCCACAGAACTAACCGGCACACATCCCAGCGGGTGTCCGGAACCAGACCCACATCTCACACAGCAAAGCTCTTCAGTCAAATGATAATGAAGTTAAAGTAAGGTTGACAGTTAAACTTAACTATGTGACTCAGTTCCATCACTCGGGAAGGCCCACGGACTGAGAGGTGCAGCTGAGGAGGGACAGGGAAAGCCCTCCCTCGGGAGCTGGGCTGGAGCCGGCGCGCCAGTGCGGGGCCGACCTACCCCCTCGCAGGATGGTGCTGCGCGTGCTGGCAACACTGGAACCCTGCACGCAAGCAAAGGGACATCCGGAGGGGACCAAGTGACCTGTCCAAGGCCGTCGAGTAAGTGCACGAGCCAGGACTGGGACCCTGGCCCACCCAAGCCCCACCACGAGTGCCCCGCTGACCACGCGGTGCCCTGGTGTTCAGAGGTGGCAGCAGTCAGGCCGTCACGCCCATGCCGTCCTGCGCAGGCGTGCGGGCAGCTGACTGACTCAGGACGGAAGCTTCATCGCCTGAAAATAAGCATCAAAAATGCACTGCCAGTTCTTGGTAACTCCTGTAACTAAGCAATCGCCAAAATATTTAATAATTTGTCAAAGATGCTTTTTCATTGCACATAAGAATTTAACTCCCTAAAAGGAAAGAAACATAATTCTTAAGACTGTTTTGTATTTTTTTTTTAGTAACAAGTATATTTGTTTCCAAAATAAACATCTCAGACGCTACACAGTAGGAAACACTAATTCCCCCTGCGGTGGGAATCCTTCCCACTGTCCACACCCCAGTGCGCGGAGTCCCCAACGGCTCTGCACAGTGCCGGGTGGTGCCTGGGAAACGCATCTGCTCTCTACACGGACATATTCCCAGGAGTCCCTCCCCAACGATGAGCCATATTTTCCCCTCCGTCAGCCAGCAAGCTTGATGCTCTAACATAGGGCTTTGAGGTATATTTATATTAAAACTTTTGCCCGAAAAGAACGAAGCCACGGCTGCACAGGACCGTATTTGAAGAAACTACATTCCACCAAGTAGGATCAATGTGTGGGCGACAGTGAGCGTATATACGATGAGGGCAGGACAGCGAAAGTTGATTCAGAAGAGCGACATGTGCGCACGTGTGCACTGACGGAACGGCAAGGACAGTACGCTCAGGGACGGCAGTGCACTAGCACAGTAACAGTACAGTAACAAAGCATAGTGATGATAATGGTCGCGTCATCGGAAGGGTGAATATACGGGATTAAGATGTGGGGAAATGAGTACACTCCGTCTTTGATGTCTGTGTGATGTAAACACACAGACAGCCAAGGCCGAGTCAGCTATCGCTCTACAAGACTAAGACTTGGCAATGCTGAAAGTTCTCATTCCACACGGGAACTCTGCCTCTACACAGCTTCTCATGTTGTCAGAAATGATGACCACAAAGGGCAGTCAGGCAGGATCCATCTGGGACTTAAGAATTAGTAAGGCCATGGGAAAAATAAAACAAAAAAGACCAGTATTCTTTTTTCCCTTGTAGAGTTAACTAAGAGTAAAATGTTTTGATCTTCAGTCTATCGCTTCCATATTCCCCCATACTCACAATATGCTCAAAATATAGCTACGATTTCAACTAACCTGCCTACGACGCAATGACACTATCACTTTGCCATGAGAGAAGTCTAAGCTGGACAAGTGAAAACTGAATCCAAGACTATGTTGAAATGTGTGGTTCTGACGCTCCCTCTCTTCCAGCTGCAAACACAGGCCCCCTAACGCCGTCCTGGAGAAAGGACACACTGAATAAGCAAACACGTCAAGTGCCTGCAGGGAAGGGTCCTCCCAGAGGTGCGCCCTCTCTGGTCTGTCCTCTGCGGCACGGCTGACACCACGACAGCCTAAGAAACAAGGCACAGCGACGGCTTCGCATCCCCACCGACCACAGACCCTATGTCACATGCAGATGAAGCGGCATTTCAGAAGGCTGAACAGGGGCAGAGGCTTCAAGACTTACGTGGCCTAGAGTAAGGCCGCTTGCAGAGAGAGATGCGGACATACTGCCGCTCCTACCTCGTTGGATCGCTTTGTGCAACAGGCTCCAGCCGCTCTTGTCCACCATGTCCACGTCGGCTCTGTGACTAACCAGCGTGGCAGCAATGCTCTCCAGGCGCCGAGACAGGGCCAGGTCTAAGGGGAGGTCTCCGTGATGATCCACTTCATTCAGCTTCCCCGGGAGCTGCACGGGGAAGTGTGTAAATCAGCCCCGCTGGCAGAGAACACAACTGATTTTCAGGTCCGCCTGCTGGGCTCTTACACACTGTCCTTTATGCACGCGCCAGATTTTCATGCTGTTAACTGTTTACTCTTCAAACTCCACTGAACTGACAACCTTCTCTCAGGCCCCTGCAGGGCACAGCCCTTTCAAGGAGCACAGAGTTAGCGGGTCACACAGCAGACACAAACACCACGGAAGACAACGCAGGGCCAAGAGGGACAGGCCGGGCGGAGGGGCAGAGACGATGCGGAACAGCTAACGTGTGCATCAGACTAGGGCTTCACTCGGAAGCCCCCTCGCAGACACGGGCGCCCAGGAGAAAGCACACCGCGGCCCAACTGTGCCTCCCCACTGGGCGGCGCCGTCCGCAGAGTAACAGCCCCGAGATGCCCACGTCCCAATCCCTGGAAGCACAAAAGGGGACTTTGCAGATGTCACTAAGATTAAGGACCCTGAGGTGGGGATCACATCCTGGGTTATCTGTCTAATCACATGGATCTTAAAAGTGGAGAGGGGGGCGCCTGAGGGATTCAGTTGGTTAAGCGTCTGACTTCGGCTCAGGTCATGATCTCCCGGTTCGTGGGTTCAAGCCCCATGTCGGGCTCTGTGCTGACAGCTCGGAGCCTGGAGCTGCTTCAGATTCTGTGTCTCCCTCGTTCTCTGACCCTCCCCTGCTCACACTGTCTCTCTCACTCAGAAATAAATAAAACATTAAAATTTTTTAAACAAAAAGTGGAGAGGGAAGCAAAGGGCAGGTGAGAGAGATGTGACGGGGGACCGGGTGCACCGCCCCTGGCTCTGAAGACGGGAGGGACCTGGTGGCCTCCAGAAGCCACGAGAGTCCCCAGGTTAGAGCCACCTGGTCCTACAACCACAAGGAAGGGAATTCTGCCGACGCCCCAAACGATCAGGAAATAGATTCTCCCCTAGAGCCTCCTGCCGATACCCGGATTTGAGACAGGTGATGCCTGGACGGGACCGCCCGCCTGCAACGCTGCAGGGTAACACGTCTGCGCTGCTCTTAGCCACTAGGCTCGTGGCCATTCCCTAGCGCAGCAAAAGAAAAATAAAAGCGGATTTCGGTACCTGGAAGTCAGGTACTGCTGCAGCAACTACCCGGAAACGTGGAGGTGGCTTTGGAAGGGGGTGACGGGCAGAGGCTGCAAGAACTCTGAGCGGCGTAGCAGACAAAGCTGAGGCCGCCCAGAAGCGACTCCTGGGAGACACGTGTACATCAGAGACTGCGCCGCTGCGGCTCAGGGGGAGTGAGGGGCATTGAGGGAAAAACAAGCGACGTATGGTTTTCAGAAAAGGTAGGAAAAACAGAAAAAGCAGCTACTGTACCTGTGAGTCCATTTCAATTAGATAGAGGAAGACCACATCCTCTCTCTCTACTTTGATAGCCTTATGTAGCGGGTACTCAGTCTTGGATTTGATCATTTTGTACAACAACTGGGCGCTCATGCTGCTGAAGTCCTCCTTCCGCAGGTCGTCCTGAGAACAGAAGGGCAGTGACAGCTGGAAGGGACCCAACAGACCAAGAGCAACAGCAACAAACGCTCTAACTTCCCGCGAGGGTGCTTTGCTCACTGCCCTCAGTCTCTCACCCACCCAGTGACTGGCGATAATTTCCGCACAGTAGTTCATCAACGTGCCGGCACTCAGTTCCTCCGCGGTCTGATAGAAGCGAATACAGTTCCTGACGTTCACCAGAGACATGACGCCCTTCTCACATCTACGAGAGAGTATGAGTGACGAACAGTGGTGTTGGGACAAAAAGATTCATAAGCTAATGAACCAAAGCTACCACCTGTGGCCGGTAACACTGGTGATAGTACACACATAGTACAGTTGCAGTACACTCTCGGTACACACGGTACACGCAGTACACACACAATGCACACACGCAGTACACCCACAGTACACCCAGCACACACACAGTACACTCACGGTACACGCAGTACACCCACAGTACACACACAACACACCCACAGCACACATGCAGTACACACGGTACACGCAGGACTATCCCACAACTCCTGGAAACCACAGCGAGCCTCCACAGAACTAGCGGGTACGGAGGCCAGTGCCAGGAGCCCTTCACCCTCTTGCCTGCACATCTCCCTACAAATCAGGGCGACCCCCAAGGGCATCACAGAGCTCTGACACCCCACTGTTTCTTCATGTGTCCTGCTGCCCCCACAGACACCCTTTTCTGACCGCAAGGGCGGCACTGAGAGCACTGAACTGTGAGGTGAGAAAGACCTAAATAGAGACCCACTGACCTCTGGGGGCTGAATGACATGAACTCTGTGCCCTTTTCTCCCGCTCCATATAACAGGGATAGTGCTCTAGTTCAGAGGTTCAGAGCATCTCTGTGTGTTTTTCGAGATAAAGGAAAGCTATGTGAACTCTGCACAGTACACCGTACAGAACGGGCTGGAGCCCCTTGTCAAGGCAGCAGCGTAATCACTGATACGGACCGGACTCAGTACTACAGTGACCAGCTGGCTGGCAGAGAGGCTCAGATGTGACAGGGGAGGTGGGGTTCAGAGAGGGAGGGAAAGCCTGCGGGCACAGGAGGGGGACCGGAGGAAGGAGGGAAGACTGAGGAACAATCTCTCAGTCCTTCTCCGTCCAGCAGTCAGCGCAGGCGCCTGTTTCATTCCAAGACCAAGGCTGAAGTTTAAAAACAAAGGTTTTTAAGTGACACAGATGACTTGGTATAAAGAAGCTTCTCCCAACGGGCACTTGTAAACCAAACCATTATGGTATCTAAACAAGTTACCGCGGTGAGTAAGCAGGCTCCTTTCCGAGCCGCCAGCCACCGTCTGTGCTGTGTCTGCCCGTGCCTGTCACACCTCAGCAAGGTCTAACCACGTAACCGTGGCCTGGCTGCGAAGTCAGAGTGCTCCAGGGGAAAGCCCTCCGTGTCGCTCGTGCGGGACTCGTCAATTTTACAGCGGCAAACACCCCGCACGGCTGTTCTAACGCCCTAACTCGGGAGCATGCGCTTTCGCAGAGCCCTTTGCAAAGCAGCTTTACAGACAAATGCTGAGTCTGAAAATCCTACTCTCTCCTTTCTATTGCCAATGACATTTGTCGCAAGAGACTCAAATGTGTTTCATCAACACTGACGTTCCCTTACAACTGGCAGACACCTCACCGTCACCTACCTCTGGGTCTGCAGAAGGCCAGCCGCTATTCGGATGGCCTAGAACTAGTGACCGACATGATTCACACCACTCAAGACCATGTTATCTTATTTAAAAATTCATATTCTCTTGGGGTGCCTGGGTGGCTCAGTCAGTTAAGCATCCGACTTTGGTTCAGGTCATGATCTCACGGTTTGTGAGTTCGAGCCCTGCAGAGCTCAGAGCCTAGACTTGCTTCACATTCTGTGTCTCCTTCTCGATCTGCCCCTCCCCTGCTTGCACTGTGTCTCTCTCTCAAAAATAAACATTTAAAAAAATCGTAATAAAAATAAAAATTCATATTCTCAATTCACATTTCCTCTTTCAAAAGTACCAAGACGAACTTTCCTCTGAAGGAATTTTGTTGTTAATAGTGTTTTTCATTTTAGAGCGCAGAGAAGGATACAGATACAGAAAAACAATTTTTAAAGTACAAAATGAAGCATATATTTTAGCTCACAGCACTCCGGTCTAGTTTTAGAACCACTGCCTGTGCACGAATAGGAGACGTGGAGATGAAACAGAAATGGCGGCTGAACTACAGATGACTTAGGTTTTTTCTTTTGTATCATTCTATATTTTCCAAATGTCACACACTGAGCTTGTACGTTATAATCAGGAAAACAATTATTACACTAAATCTCAATTTTTGGCATATACTATTAATTCTCTCTCTTAAAAAAAAGGGTCTTTCATATAAGTTACCAGAAAGCTTCCTTTCCATCAAATGGGTGACTGCATTCCCAAACCCCCAAGTCCCCATCACAAAAATGAGCAGTCCCCGCCTGACACCGAACCGCTGGCTTGCGACACCCCCTTGGCTGCACTAGCTGGGATGTGTACTCTCCCCTGCACACAGCAGAGGGCGCTCTGCAGCCTTGTCAGAGCCCACACAGGACCCCACGCCAGGGAATCTGGCAGCCCAGCTCTCAGCAAAGCCACTACAGACAACAACTTAATGCCTACATCCAACAATACAAAATTGAGCATCTAGTAATACTGACGGTTAAGAAGCCTAACCAATCAATAAACAACAAATATTTTAATTAAAGAATCCATTACACAGATTACAATCATCTAAACTACTCCAACCCCAGGGCATTTCTATCAAAGCAATTTAAGTTACAAGCAAGTTTGACAAGATCAATGGAAAAAAGCTCAGGAGATCTAGAAAAAAAGAGGATAGGAATCACATTCAATCTAATTAGAACCATCCCCAGGCCCCCTCGAAGGGCTCCAACACAGAACAAACGGAAGCGCCCCTCCCAAGGCCTCCACAGGCGAGCTGCTTCGCGGACCTAATGCCCTGTGTGCCTACAAATCTCAGCTCTGTTTGGGGGCATTTCAGGTACTGCAGTTAGACATTAAAACGCCCTCAAGCGGACTGCAGGCACGGAGGGTTAGGAGGACTAACCCTCTGGGCACCATGTGTGCGGGGCGGGCCCGGGGCACCAGCCCCGCCGGGCGGCGGACCTGCTGGTGGCCGGAGCCACGGCCTCACTCGCCCGGGAGAAAAGCCACTGCTGAAGCACCAGGAGAGCCCAAAGGATCACTGGGTGAGGGGAGGCCCTCCGCCAGCCAGGCTGACCACCAAGGGCCTCGTCCCCGACAGAAGCTGAAACTGAAGGGCATTTTGCCTGACATCCTTTGGGGTCACATTGTGTGTCCCGTGGCTACCAGGCCAACTTGGGAGAGCAGCGTAAACAACAGCAGAGCGTCTCCCTGGGGACCGGAGAGGCAGGGACAAACGAAGAACCGAGAACGTGAACTGAAACTCGTGTACTAACTCAGGCGCTGGTGCGTCTCTCTCTTTTTTCTAAACGTTTTTATTTGTTTTTGAGAGAGAGAGAGAGAAAGTACACACACAAGTGAGTAGGGGAGGGGCAAAAAGAGAGGGTGTCATAGGGTCTGAAGCGGGCTCTGCACTGACAATACAGAGAGCATGATCGGCGGCGCAAACTCACCAATCCTGAGACCGTGACTCGAGCCGAGGTTGGATGCTCAACCGCCTGAGCCACCCAGGTGCCCTAACTTAGGAGTTACTGTGTTTCTAACAAAAAGAATATGACCAAGAACTTCACCCAAAGTCCCATATTACCAAGCAGAATAACTGTCACAGGAAGTGGTACAGGAGGGAAAGCTGAGGATTTGGACACTATAACCTCTATGATACTCTTTATGTAACATACACACAATTATGTAATCTCAGGTAAACACACACACACACACACACACACAACACACACACACACACACACACACACACATACAAAACAGTGAAAGAAAAGAGAATACCTAAAAGCTTTGGCACAATTTAGTTTACAAGAAACACAAAACAAGGGAGATAAAATCCTCTCCCCACTACTGCTTTCAAAAGAACACCCTGCAAAAGTTATTTACATCAGCAGAAGATGCTGTTTTCCCAGAGCTTGGCATAATTAAAGCTCAGCCACCACCATCGGAGGCGTGTGACTAGCTCTGCTGTGACTTGCCTCTCCCTGAGGAGATGTAGCTGAAAGCGATTGGCCAGCTTCATCAGCTCCGTGAGGAACACATCATCTTCTTGGAACTCCAGCTCATCCGTGTAGACCCAGCGGAGCATGGTCCTGGTCACCTCGGGGTCAGCATCTGGTGAAGCAGAGAGAGAGAGACTGAAAACACTTAGGCCTACTGGAAGGTCCCTAAAACTTCAGGCTGATGAAGCAAATTCTGGTGCCCTCCCTGCAAGCGAACATCATGCTGCCATTGAAAATGGCAACGAAGCATCCTGGGCAGCATCTGACTGCAGGAAAACGCTGTTTGGCAAAGAGAAGGAGACGTGAACCACTAAAGATGTAATAAGTCAAATAAATTGGGGGAAAATATTTTAAACATATCACAAAGAGTTTACATTCTAATAAAGATCTTACAAATGAACATGAAAAGACGGGGGCGCCCGGGTGGCTCAGTCGGCTGAGTGTCCGACTCTTGATTTCGGCTCAGGTCATGATCTCATGATCTCATGTTTCGTGGGATCGAGCCCCAGTGCAGAGCCTGCTTGGGGATTGATTATCTTTCTACCTCTCTCTCTGTCTCTGTCACCCACTCCTCTCTTAAAATAAATACATAAACTTAAAAAAAGAAAACATGAAAGGATGGACAATCAATGGTAAAGTGGGCAATGGCTAGAAGTGGTACTTCACAAAGTGATATAAAAATGTTCACTAAACCTTACCAGTAACTACAAACCCAGATTTAAACTAGAATACATTTTTTTGTCTCTCAGCAAGCAATGATTCTTAAAAATGTGTAAACGGTTACACAGAAATTATACAGTTAGATTAGGATAATCTTAAAAACTGAGCAAATACAGAGAAGTATATGCAAAAAGACAGTCAACACAGTATTATTTTTAATAGCAAAGAACTGGAAAAAAAAAATCTTAAGAGTCCTACCCTGGAAAGTTAATAATTGTAGTATTAATACTCACACTGGAAGATTTTTCATCAATTAAAATTACTTACCTCTATATTCAACCTAAAAAGGTATTCACTATACTGGTTTAAAAAAAGCTAAAAATACATGTATTAAATAAAATCTCATTTTTTGCGATATATTTGTGTGTCTGTGTGGGAGTATGTATGTACCCCCACACATACACACGCAGCTTTGTGTCTCTCCCATTCAAGTACTAGCCAGGTCCGACCCTGCTCAGCCTGTAAGATCAAGACTGAGGATGTACAGGGTAGTAAGGCCACAGACAGACTGTCTCCCAACCTATTTTTTTAGAGTAATCTCTACCCCCAAAGTGGGGCTTGAACTCACAAGTCCAAGATGAAGACTCACACGCTCCACTGACTGAGGCAGCCAGGTGCCCCTGTCTGTCTATCTACTGAGACACTGGAAGGGCACTAAAATAACCTTAGGAGAACCTGTAACTAATTTTTCTTTGAGACAATTTTTTATTTCCCTGATTTTTTAAAAAAATGTTTTCTTTATTTCCGAGAGAGAGAGTGAGAAAAAAAGCGTGAGCAGGAGAGGGTCAGAGAGAGAGGGAGACACAGACTCCAAAGACAGGCTCCAGGCTCTGAGCTGTCAGCACAGAGCTCGACACGGGGCTGGAACCCACGAACCATTAGACCTGAGCCAAAGTCGGACGCCCAACCTACTGGGCCACCCAGGTGCCCCTATTTCCCTGATCTTCAATGAATGTGTATTACTTGTATAATTTTTTAAGTTAAAATAAAAGACTCTACAAGAAACTTGGGGAAATTCTTGGCGTGAAAACTGTAGTATAAAGTATCTAAAATTATAATTTCAACTAGAGGCAAGTCTTGATTAGTCAGATTAAGGGTAGTGGTGAACAGAGGATCAATTCATGGTCTAAACCAGGGGTTCTCAAAGTGTGGTCCTCAGCTAGCAGAATCAGCGTCACCTGTGAACTCGCTGGAAGCTCCTGGGCCCACCCTGGACCGACGGAACCGGACACCCTCGGGTGGGGCCAGCATCTGTGTTTTAACACGTTCTCCTTGTGATTCTGACGCTTGCTAAGGTTTAAGGAATCAGACTCCATTCCTGATTGCCTAGGACAGTCATAACAAGAGCCAGGAACCTCTTATTAACTTAGTGATTAGGCAACAGCTGATTAGCACTTATTAACCCCTCCTTTTCCAAATATAGGAGAAGTGGGCTGAAGGGAGTAATGCTGAACGGAACTGGAGGCTCCTGATTTATTTGCTCCACATTAATTTACCCATCATTCCGTAAAACAGCCAGATATTAAAAGGGGAAAAAAAGGCATAATGAAAATTGTGGGGCATCTGGGTGGCTCAGCTGGTTAAGCAGCCAACTCTTGATCTCAGCTCATGTCATGATCTCGCAGTTCATGGGATCAAGCCCCACATCAGGCTCTGCACTGACAGCATGGAACCTGCTTGGGATTCTCTCCCTCTCCCTCCGTTCCCCCTCTGCTCACATTCTCTCTTTCTCCCTCAAAAATAAACAAACATTAAAAAAAAAAAAAGAATTGGGGCACCTGGGTGGCTCAGTTGGTTAAGCGTCCGACTTCGGCTCAGGTCATGATCTCATGGTTCGTGGGTTCAAGCCCCACGTCAGACTCTGTGCTGACAGCTCAGAGCCTGTTTCAGATTCTGTGTCTCCCTCTCTCTCTGACCCTCTCCTGCTCACGCTGTCTCTCTCCCTCTCTCTCAGAAATAAATAAAATATTTTTAAAAAATTTTTTTAAAAGAATTTAAAAAGAAAAACAATTGAAAGAAAATACATGCTGGGCACCTGGCTGGTTCAGTCTGTGGAATGCATGACTCATGATCACAGGGCTGTAGGATCAAGCTCTGTGCACCTGGGTAGTTCAGTCTGTTAAAGTGTCCGACTTTGGCTCGGGTCATGATCTCGTGGTTTGTGAGTTTGAGCCCCACGTCGGGCTCTGAGTTGACACCTCAAAGCCTGGAGCCTGCTTCAGATTCTGTGTTCTGCCCTCTCCCCCCACCCCTACCCCCACCCCCACCCCCAGCCTTCCCCAACTCACATGTGCGTTCTCTCTCTCAAAAAGAAATATTTTTTTAAAAATGCCAAAATCCTAATTGTGATTATGTTAGTTTATTTCTTCTTTTCTCTCCTACCTGGTAAAGGAATAACAGCACTTTTAAAATGTTTTGAGAGAAAGAAAACATTTTTAAATCACATGAAAATCTAATTGGATTTACTTATTCTACTTGAAAAAAATCCTTCAACTGCGTCTTAAGGTATTCAAAGTAGATCTCGAAGTAGCATCATAGGCTGGCTTTGTAAACGGGGCCTAGCAGGTGAGCGGTCTCTTCATGGAAAGATACGCAGCCACCAGATCTGCAGAGACGGCCAGCCAGCTGGGCCCGCACACCCACTGTCCTCACACGGCCTGACTGCACACCACAGCTCAGCCCACTGACCAGAGCCCAGCCGCAGCCTCAAACATCTTCCATGTGGTAATCCGATTCTGCTTTAAAATTTAGCTGGTTGCGTTTAATAACCCTCCCTCAACTGTCCAAACCAATAAACTTGACAGTTGATGAACCAAAACCTAAATAATTTCCTTAAGACCCACGATCAGCAGGGATTTCCTGGGAGCGCTCAAAATCTCACAGGAAGTCACGGTCAGGTGGCCTCCAAGCGTTCCCACCCTGCCCTGACCCTTCCCTCCAAAATATACCGAGAGTCGATCCAGGCGGAGACTCGGACCGAGCCGCCAGGGCACAAGGGGGCAGAGCGCACTGCGGCAGGGGCCGGGTGGAGCTGCTGCGCACTTTCAGAGCATCGTGCGGCCTGCGGCCTCCAGTCTGTCCGCAGGCGGCCGGGCGAGTGAGGCGAGCCCCACTGCAGGAGACGCAGAGGAGCCCGTTCCGCGAAGGGACAGCAGTGGCCTCCGCGTCCGCACAGACACCCTGCTGCTCGAGGCAGGCCCAGCGCACAGCTGCTAAAACTGTGACCGCGCGCGCGAAAAGAAAAATAACACCCAAACTTCTGACTTCACGGCAGTCCAGGCGCAGGGCCGCACTCTGGAGAGAACCTGAGATTTTCTATGTGGCCCAGTTTTTTTTTTATTTGGTTTTAAATAAATGTTTTATAAGATATTTGCAAAGAATGGGAATAAACTTATCAGTAGGCAATTAGTCATTAAATGAAGCATATTGAGGGAATAAATTTCATTACTTAGATCTTGTATTTGTAAAAAACTGGGGCTCCAGGGTGGCTCAGTCCATTACAGGGCAGACTCCTGATTTCGGCTCAGGTCATGAGCTCACAGATGGTGAGTTTGACCCCCGCAGCAGACTCTGTGCTGACAGCATGGAGACCCTCAGGATTCTCTCTCTCCCTCCCTCTGCACCTTTCCCCCTCCCCCGCAGACACCCATGCTCCCTCCCTCCCTCCCTCCCCCCAACACACTGACACCCAAGCTCTCTCCATCTCTCTCTCCCTCTCTGCTCCTCCCCCGCTCCCACACGTGTTCTCTCCACCTCTCAAAACAGACTTTAAAAAACATGTGAAAGGGTTCTGGATATCTTCTATGACACTAACTGAACTGTCTTCATGTTTCCAACTATTTTTTCTTCATTTACTTTACCCAAGTTTTGGATTCATAAAATTAGAAAACTGAGAGAGTACATCTTGTATCAGTAACAGCATCTTCTTTAGTCATTTTAACAATACACCCTTAACTGTAATTCTTGGAAATAAACTCCAAACCATACTTGTAAGAAATCCCCATCTCAAAAAGGAGTAAAAGGGCGGGCGTCCCGGTCCCGTCACGGCAGGGTGGGCACCGTCCCATGCTAACTGACGAGGCTAAACGCTGCAGACGGAGCACCAGAACCCTGTGCTACCCGAGGGCTCCGAAAAGGACAGAAAACTGGGCAGCTGTAGAGGGAGGCCAAACGTGAAGAGGCCCCAGCACTGGACAAGGGTCCCATTGGTTTTCCTATGGCTTTGCCCTGGGGACGACCCCAGCCAGGGGTCAACACTGGAGCGCGTGGACGCCTAACCCTCTGATACAAACTCCCTCCCTCTGGCCAGATGCACCCGGAAAGGGGGGCCGGGGGGGCGGAAGAATAGGGAGGTCTCCTGGTTGCGTGGACGAACGCACCCGGGCCTCGGGCTCCCCTCAGCTGCTCGTGCGTGAACGGCCCGGCCCGGCCCAGCTGCAAGAACTGAAGTGAGGTCCAAGCCACTGCCCACAAAAGGTGGAGCAACTTTCACTGTGAAGCTAAGGAGAGCCAGTACTTTCCAGAGGATGATATAGGACCCAGAGCCTATAAAACACAATCACAATGTCCAGGATACAATCCAAAATCAATTGATAAAGAAAAAAAAAACTCAAGAAACTACGACCACGTCTCAAGGTCTAACCCCAAGATGACCCAGACACTGAATTTATCAAAGACATGAAAGTATCTGGTATAACTATGCTCCAGAAGTGGTGACTCACGTGCCAGCCACCTCGGACACCTTCCTTGTCAGCCCACGCTGTCTTCTAAACCTCAGACATAAAGCAACCGCAGCACTGTGCGCACTGCCCTGGCCTGAAACGGTCCATATCCGCGGGGCCAGGACTCTGTTACAACGATCTGTTTTTCTGGAAGTGCTGGGAAAACAGTGCCTTCTGAACTGGCAAACAAAGACAGAATTCAGCAGAATTTCCACATGGCCTATCACTATTACAAGTAACTCATCATCTTCCTGCCTGGGTATCTCCTTAACATGCGTTATAATTCTCATGATTATTAATAAGAGACTTAAATGCAAAATTTGTTTTGTTTTGTTTTAAAAAGCATTTAGGTAAGTACTAAATGAAAATGCAATTCCGAAATAAACTTTTGAAAATGATTATTTTAAAGTCTACCTGCCACCACACATACCGAAGTTCTACCTAATGTTCACAACACAATGTGGAATAAAGCAATGAAGTCAAGCGTTAAAAAGGTCAGTGCACCTATTCAAATTCTGAAGCCTGATGGTCACCCTTCAATGTTAGAGAAGGATAACCCCTGTTTTCTGGAGTAACTCTTAATTCTGAGTGTAGCTCCTGTACACCAGGAAAAGCACTTGGCAACTACGATTAAATTTTATGCAAGTGAACACCAGGACTTTTTCTAGAAGGAAAAATTTTTTTCTACACATGCTCCCATATTTATATTGTATGAAAAGAATTTCTGGATAGATATTATAAGAATATTGTAGATACTCAAATAGTTACAATTTATTAGTCAGGTGTTAAACAAAAGTGTTTAAGTTCAACCCACTGATTCACTATTTAACTAGTTCATGGTCACCATCGATTGATAAGGAAAGTTTTCCACTTTCAGGGTGCCTGGGTGGCTCAGTCAGTTGAGTATTCAACTCTTGATCTCAGCTCAGATCATGATCTCACGGTTCAGGAGATCGAGCCCCACATCAGGATCTATGCTGACAGTGCAGAGCCTGCTTAAGATTCTCCCTCTGCTTTTCTCTCTCAAAATAAAAAAAGAAACATGAAAAAAAAATTTTTTTTAAATTATGAAACGCTGTAGTTAAAAAAAAAAGTTTTCCACTTTCATTGAACCACTAATACCTCAGAACAACACACGTCAGCTTCTGCCTAGAGCTCTGGTGCTGGTGGTTGTAAAGCTCATCCGGTCAGAGGCTCACCTGAGAGGTCCAGCTCGTCAGCGGAAGACAAAGTGGCCAGACTCCAGCTGTCGCTGCGGGCCGCCAGGACAAACTTGTGAGCGCTGATGTGCTTGCCCCCAACCTTTATCTTCAGATCGCTGATGAAGAAAAATATCCACAGAAATAACAAGAAAAATGTCTTCATAATTACATATAGCTGGGATTCACAAATGATAAATATATGAGTACTGATTGATCAACACGTATCTGCAAACAGAATCACAGCAAGGTTATTTCTCTGGGTTAGCACTAAATTCTACACTTGATCTTAACCAAAAGGCTGAGAAGCGATTGCTACCACTGATTTCTAATGGGTTATGCTTACAACGTGTTGCTAGACACGTTTTGTATTTCTAAATTCTAGCTTCAGTTAACATGGATGTTGTGCTTCTAGGACATTCCCTAATGCGATTCTTAGGGCAGTGAACCTATCAGTTAAACAGGATGATTAATATTCAGTAAACGTAGAAGAGGTTTCACGCAGACCAGATCAAGACAGGGCACCAGGGAGAGGCGGACAGAAAGCACGAAGACTGTGCAGCAGCTCTAAGAGCTGCACGCAGCAGGGGCTAGTGCAGCCTCAGGGTTCTGTGGCCAAACTACAAACTGGCTTTGACACAGCAGTCAAGAATATGAAGCCCAATCTCTACTTTCCTGTCCTCAAGAGAAACATTCATAGCTATTATTGGACATTTTTACTCAACCATTTATAAAGAAATGGGGTAGGAGTAATCTTTTCTCCAAACACATTCCCATATTTGTGACAAACCATTATATGAAACAAAGCTTTCCAAACAGGTGGCATGTGTGACTCTGAAATGTCAACTGCGCGGGAGGAGGGCGTCTGGCCATCTAACAAAACCCTGAGGATGACCCACTGGGCTAACACAAGCACGTGCCATATGGTTTCATTCCCAGCAATCTGTATTTACACGCTCTTTTACTTTCATACTCCTCTCCAAAAATGTGTTAAGTTGGAAACCTTTACAAGATAAAAACAAAAATTATTACATTACGGAAAAAAAAAATCAAAAACCTAAGGGTGGCTCAGTCACTTGAGCGTCTGACTGCGGATTTCCGCTCAGGTCACGATTTCACAGTTCCTGAGATGGAGCCCTGAGCAGGCTCTGTGCTCAGAGTGGAGCCTGCTTAGGAATCTCTCTCCTCCCTCCGCTGCCTGCACACATTCTCTCAAAATAAATAAATAAACATTAAAAAAAAAAAAAAGAGTGACAAGACTCCTTAATAAGGAATGAAAAGTCTTTAAAAAAAATAAAATGAAATAAAATAACACAGACACAGTTTCCTCCATGAACACATGCCTACAACACACTTTACAGTGATGTAAGCATATCAGCAATTGTAGTTGTGCTAAGATCAAGTTGCAACCAATCACATTAGATCGAAGAACAGGATACTCAGTATTTCAAATTATTACAAACTAGTGTAGCACCAAACATTATTAATCAATCAATAAAAAAAGAAATGGAATTGATATTTTATTTGAAATAGAACAAATATGGGGCAGCTGGGTGGCTTAGTCGGGTGAGTGTCCGACTTTAGTTCAGGTTGTGATCTCATGGTTCGTCAGTTCAAGCCCCGTGTCGGGCTCTGTGCTGACAGCTGAGGAGTCCACTTCAGGTCCTCTGTCCCTCTCTCTGTCCCTCCCCGGCTAGCGTTCGCTCGCGCTCTCTCTCTCTCAAAAATATACATTTAAAAAGTATTTTCTTTCTTTTATTTTTTAACATTCCTTCATTTCTGAGAGGGGGTGGGGGGAGGAAGGGAGGGAGGGAGAGGGGAAGGAGCAGAGAGAGAGGGAGCCACGGAATCTGAAGCAGTTCCAGGCTCTGAGCTGTCAGCACAGAGCCCGACGCGGGGCTCGAACTCACTGACCTTGAGATCATGACCTGAGTTGCAGTCGGACACTTAACCGACTGAGTCACCCAGGTGCCCGTAAAATATATTTTCAAATAGAACAAATCATATCCTATGATAAAATTTCTAAAATTCAATGAAACCATGAAGCAGTTTACAAAGCACAAATAATTTTTAAGCTCTAAATTTATGTACAAAGTATTAAATTCTATTAAATGAAGACTCACTGTTTCCTGTTTTAGCCATACATGGACTTTTAGCCACAAAATTATAAGTTCTATATATTCTGAAATCTATATACTCATGAATATCAGGTCAAACTGTTTTTCTCTTTTCTACTCTAACATATCAAAGGGAAATACAGATAAGGCTTTCACCAATAATTTCTAATAATAACAATTTCTAAAAATGCAATTTAAAAATGGAAGATGGTAAGTTTCTGAGCACTCTATGCAGAAACAATTAGGAGGCTAGTAATTTTTTTAAATTTCCATTCTAATCAAAGAGCATTTCCCTGTAAAATATGAATGCTGTTACTAGAGAAGAGGTATAAAGAGCTTCTTGCTAGAGTTTCTCAAATGCATTAACAGAAACAACTGTAAGCGTGATCACTAAAAGAAGGATGTAGTAAATAACTAAATATAACCATTTTTAATGATCTTAAGAGATAAAAGCCTTTTCCTGAACTTAAGTAAAAATAAATGTGTACCAAGTTCTTCCACATTTCTCAATTTAAAAACTTTTTAACATCTACTCTTTAATTACTCCAGTCACTGAGATGCACATAAAAATACTATTTAAGTGGGGGAAGGGGCACGCCTGGGTGGCTTAGTCGGTCAAGCGTCTGACTCTTGATCTCAGCTCAGGCAGGGTCATGAGTTCAAGCCCTGCACTGGGCTCCATGCTGGGTGTGAAACCTACTTTAAATATATATATATATTTAAATACTTCAATAAAATGTATGTTTATAGGACAAATTTTTGTGGTTTTTTTTTTTTTTTTTTTGTAGGGGGTTTTTCCTTCTTATTTTGGTAAAAGAGCATCTGCTTTAGAAACTGATTTTCCGATTTTAGGTACTCCATCTGAAAAGCTCAAGTTCTCTCTGAAAGCTCTGCTCCCCATCTGGTATCTGACCTGTGGTAGGCAAGGGAAGCCCGGGAGAGGCCCCCAGGAGCCTTGACGGGGCTCATTCTCATGTCTCCCGGGGCGGGGGGGGGGGGGGGGGGGGGGGGGGGGGGGGGGGGGGGGGGGGGGGGGGGGGGGGGGGGGGGGGGGGGGGGGGGGGGGGGGGGGGGGNGGGGGGGGGGGGGGGGGGGGGGGGGGGGGGGGGGGGGGGGGGGGGGGGGGGGGGGGGGGGGGGGGGGGGGGGGGGGGGGGGGGGGGGCGGCGGCGGGATGGGATGGTGGATGCACTCGGTGCGTAAGTAAGAGAGAAAGTGAGTGACGGGAGCTGTGAGGGAAGAGCCTCGGGCAGGGGAGGCGCACCAGCAGCAGGGTAGGTCAGGCTCTCCTGTGCCACCAGAAGCACAGTTTTGACTTGTCCATGGGAAAAAGAGGGAGAAAAGGAGGCCACGAATGAATGATATTTTTACAAGCAGCAACATCCATTCAATTTTAAGGGCTGTCCTTTACTCAGAGTGTATGCTTCCTATCTTTTTGGTATTCAGGTTTTCTTTCTTTTATAAATGATTAAGATGAGGGACACCTGGGTGGCTCAGTCAGTTAAGTGTCCAACTTCGGCTCCAGGTCAGGATCTTGTGGTTCGTGGGTTCGAGCCCCGAGTCGGGCTCTGTGCTGACAGCTCAGGGCCTGGAGCCTGTTTCAGATTCTGTGTCCCCCTCTCTCTCTGCCCCTCCCCCACTCATGCTCTGTCTCTCTGTCTCAAAAATAAACTATAAAAAAATTTATAAATGATTATGATGGAAGATAGCAATTCTGGATTTTGATCAGTTTTAAATGTCCTAACTTATTTTGGAATTTTCCTAAGTCTTAGCTAAAGTCCAGTTGCCAATTTCCTCAGGAGGCACACCCTCTCTCCGGCACACATTCGCGCCCTCGTCTCCTCTCCGTTCCGCCGCCACCACCCCATCCCATCTTCATCTCTGCTCTGCACTCTGCACAACATTCCCACCACACCCCTGCACTCTCCCCTGCACAATTCTCTTTACATGACGTTACCAGGCTGGTCTTCCCGAAACCCCACCTTGACTCTGAAGGTCCAAGCACTCTGTTCCTCACTCCCTAGAGGTTCAAGTCTGTATTTCCCACCTTGGCCCCCAGTGCAAGCACCCACCTTCCCCGCCTCCTGACACATGACATCCACCCCAAGATGGCCCCTCCTGTCCTCTAACTCGTGCGCATGTTGCCACGTCCCCGCCTGCTCTCAGCCTCCCCCCACCAGCAACATCACTGTCTTTATGTACTGAATCCTACCCAGCCTCTGGCATTTACCTCAAAACTCACTTCATAACAGCAGCTAACAAGTGAGCGCTTACTGTGTGCCAGAACCTGGTCTGAGTGCTTTAAAACATGTGCTCACTAATTTAACCCTTACAACAACACTACTGTAAGCAGCAATATGCCCATTTTACAGATTAGGAGCCCGAAGCAGGTCCAGACCACACAGCCAGTGGGTGGCCGGCTGAGCTTCTACCACCGGCTGTGCGGCTCCAGGCCCCCCTCAACCTATTTCCCTGCCCACTAGTTCCAAGACACCTTCTTTGATTGTCCCAAGAGAAAGTGACCTTTCCCCTCGGAATCTCTGGGCTTGTAAGCTGATTCCTGTCTGCATCGCAGTGCCGTGACTCCCACACCCTGTGCTGAAGATGAGGAGGAAATAAAAGAAACGAGAATCTTTCCCCAAAGACCTTACATTCCAGGGACTGAAGGTTTGCTAGGATCCTGGTCAGAGAGACACAAACCTGGGAGGAAAGTGGGAGGGGAGCTACAGGGCGGCCCGGGGGCCCAGGGGCCCAGGGGAAGGGCCGTGCGGCCGGGCTCACCTGTACTGCTCCTGGCCATACAGGCCGGCCACGATTGTCAGCAGGCGGCTGATGAAGGACTCACTGCTGCTTTCCTTGCTGGCCTGCGCGGCCAAGAGACTGCATCTCTTCTCCGTCTCTGCCAACTTCTTCTGCAGCTTCACGTACTCCTGTCGGAGAAGCATCAGGTGCTTCTCCAACTTGGCCACCTCCTCTGCAAGACGGAGGACACAGATTCCCGTTTACCGTGGCAGGTGCAGAGCAGGCCGCAGTCACGAATCTCTCCCCACAGACGGACGTAGCAAAGTGACAATTTCCTCGCGATGTTCCTTTAGGACCCAGAATGGCTTTGTTTATGGTGCCACTGTGTCCCCAGGCCCGAAAGACCCTCACGGTCCAGGGCTTTCTCTTTTCGGTTTCTCTAAAGATCAATATTCAATAAATGACAAGGAACAGACGCACGTACATGTTAACAGGCACCTGCCCTACAAACTCTTTATCGCAAAGCCAGGGCTCACAGGGAAGGACTGTCAACACCTAGGACACTTTTCCAAACCACTATAGTGAAAACAGATTTTTATGTCACGTGTCCTGTATACAAGCTTTTCGTGAGTTCTCTCGACAGGCCCCCGAGGGCGCACCATCACAAGCCACACTACACAGGTCACAGAGAGGGGCGCTGGGGCACAGAGAGACTGAGCATTGGCCCGCGGTCCTGAGGCTGCTGACAGGTGGGGCTGGGATCAGAGCCCAGGGCCCACACGACCCGACACCGCCTCATCCGGAAACAAAGCGGGGCAGCCAGCACTGGTTCAGACGGAAGCAAGTCCCACTGCACTGAGTCAGGAAATTCAACAAATACTTCCCGAGTGCCTACCAGGTCCTAACGACCGCACAACGGGAGGCAAGTTCACGCATATCTTTCCTCAGAGCTTTTAGTTACTGGGGAAAGCAAACTTTTTAAAATCATAATGACGATGCTACCAAGCAAACACAGAACCACAACTCCAGGGAGCCCTGGGAGGAAAGAGCAGAGGTGTGAGAACCTGTAATAAATCCACTTGGGACACAGGGAAGACTTCTCCGAAGTACACGGTCAAGAAACCTCCCTCCTCCGTTCCCTGGCTCTGGAGCCTCGAGGGGGTCGCAGCACGGGGCTAATCGGCGCCTCTATAAATCCAGGTCTCCGCCACGGAACCGCAGAACCGCTGCCCCTTCTCCGCGCCTCGGCACCTGCGCCCGTCTGCTCCTCACCAGCCGCTGTCCTCGAGCCCACCGCCCCCCCCCCCCCCCCCCCCCCCCCCCCCCCCCCCCCCCCCCCCCCCCCCCCCCCCCCCCCTCAGCAGGGTAATGAGAGAACGGAGCCTGTGCCAGCACCTCTGGCCACACCGGCAATGTCTCCCCCTCCCCGTGCTCCCTGGGACAGAGCATCCCCACCCTGTCCAAGTAGGATCCCTCCACGCGGACGAGGCTCCCAGCCCAGCACCGCGCTCAGATCCTCGCTTTAGCACCAACCTCCCTTCTCCGCAACTTCAAACCCTTTCTGCCGGCTCCATGGCTCCCTCTCCTCATGAAGCCGAGCAAGACCCCATTAAAACAGAGCCCTCCTCCCACAGCACATCCGACCACCTCCGCCCTTCCATCCCCAGCTTCCGCACACCGCTCCCTGCCCCCCGCGCCCCAGCCGGGCCCCCCGTCCCCACCATTCCCTGACGCTCTTCTCACCAACGACCTAACTGCCAAACCCAACAGACACTTGCCACGAGCCTCGTCCTGGACCTGCTGCCCAGCCTGTGACACTCTTTTCCCTTCTTTCAGCAACCGCAGCGCCACCCCCTCCCCAGTTCTGCTTCTCGGCCTTTCCCGTGCTCCTCCGCATCCCTCCCACGCTGATCACTGAGGCTCCCCAGGGATCTACCCCTGACCCTCCTCTCAGCTGTACGGCCTCCCAAGGCAGCTCCACCAGGTCAGGGTCTGCGGCTGATGCCACCTCTAAGTGCCAGGGATCCACAGACCCGTCCCCGTGGTTATTTCTTAGCTTCCTCTGTCCTTCTGCCTAAGAGACACTGCTCTCTAGTGGCCCAAAGGCACCTCAAGTTCACTATGCCCAGAACAAAACCTGAAGCAAATCTGCTCTGCCTTTGTATGGCCCCTATACTAATAATGACACCACTGTGCAGCCCACTGTCTGAAGGAGAAATGCAGGAGGGATGTTAAATATCTCCCCCTCAGTCGGTTAAGCATCTGACTCTTGGTTTCGCTCAGGTCATGATATCACAGTTTGTGAGTTCAAGCGCCGCATCAGGCTCCAAGCTAAGTGAAGAGCCTGTGTGGGATTCTCTCTCCCCCTCTCTCTGCCCCTCCCTCAAAATAAATAAATAGACTTCTGAAAAATCAGATTTCCCACCAAATCATTCCTGGGAATCCTTCCTGTCTTCTATATCCCCATCCCCACTATGACCAGATTTAGGCCCTCCCTCGTCGTATCTGATCTCCACTGAGAACGGAGTCACAGCTGCGTCTCAGAGCCGCCTGCCTCAGAGCCTGATACACAAAGGCTCACTGAGTATTTGATCAATTCATTGAACAAGTACAATCCAGTTTTATAAAAGAGGATTCTTTTCCTCTCCTCAACTTCATCTCTTCCCCACCTGCTACCCAAAAGCTAATTCTTTATAAACATGGAGACAATTAAAAACTGGTTCAAAAACACAAAAAGGCACTGAAACTAAACATATTTTATCATTCCAAATTTATTATAAATATTCACATGTATGAAGAGTAAAAAGACAGTACAAAAAAAGAGCAGATCTCACAGAGACGCGGGATTACCGCACTCCTCTGCACATTTCAGGTATTCTAGAACAAACACGCTCTGCCTTCATAATTAGAACAAATGTTTTAAGAGAAATCTGTACAAGTATTAATGGACTATCTTCTTCATATACATAGTAGGAAACATTTTCTTCTCTCCCAGAGGTTCCACATTAAATAACGGCCTGGAGTCACATGGGTGTGAGTCTCAGGTGTAATCACTATTCCTTGGGCGACAACGCACAACTTACAAGATGAAAATATGCTTCTAGCTGCCAAACTGCTCACTGCGTTCGTGAGCTAGGTACCAGATGAGCATTCCTATAAATAACACTTTCCCCCAGAATACTACAATTATTTGGCCTACATGCATTTACATAAAATACTGCTTTAAAAACCACTGGCTAAAGGAAAGCAGTATTTATAAACGATCCTATTACAATACTGAAATCATCTCAGCAAGCAGCGTTTACAGGTACACAAAAGCCCCGAGGCAGGAGTCTGTTTTATGCTTTTATTTGGTGCAACAAATTCACAGTCCCTGATTTTGAAGAGTCTTCCAGGGTGATTTAGACTAAACAAACCAAGAATTGTAATTATTTACCTCAAAGGGGGAAGTATTTAGCACAAATAAGGTAATAAATTTCATCTAAGGCACAAAATTTATGCTTTTTTTTTCCTGCAGAGAAGGAAACAGAAAAACTGGCACTGAATTTCCAGGTGTGGAAAGACAAAGTGTAAAGGGATGTACAATCAAGTCACGGCAAATTCCATTTAAACACTGTGGCCAGCGGTAGCAACACGGCTCTACGGCGTCAGAGGCCACACCGTGGCTGCCGCTGCAGGAACGGCGAGGGCCTCCGGGGTGCTGGTAACATCCTCATTTGCTTGTTTAACTTAGTAGTTAAGTGCACATTTGATTTTGGCAATTCACCGAGTTCTACACTTGTGTTTGCTCTTTTCCACATGTATCTTATGCTTCATTTAAAAGTAAAACCAAATTGGTACATGCCTGTAGTGGGTTCCAGAGTCAAACTGACAGGGGTCCAAATGGTTTCAGTAACTTGCCATGGGCGGTGGGCAAGTTCATCACTCTGAGCTTCGGGCTCTCCGTACCCGGGGGCGGGACTAAATCACAAGGCAGGTGGCTGGCACGAGCATCAGCTGCCAGCATGTCCCCACTCACCCCACAATCACACAAGTACTAGCTAAACAGTGTGAAATATTATAACAGTTTACACAACGTATTTTGAATCATGAAAAGCAGAAAGGAATCCAAATCTTTTACCGACCTGGGAACTAAAACTGACCAATGAAAGTCGTGGCAAAGCCAAAGCCCACCACGAGAAGCGTGAAGTGATGAAGGGAAAACCAGAGGAGCCAGCACTGGGAAATACGCAACGAGCTCCTTTAAACACTGTGTCCCCTCAGCAAATCTGCACTGACAGTTCCCACGTCAAAACGCAAAGCCTAACATGCTTTAGAAAGCGTCACTACTGGGGGCGCCTGGGTGGCTCAGTCAGTTGAGCATCCAACTCTCGGTTTCGGCTCAGGTCATGATCTCATAATTCGTGAGTTCAAGTCCCACATCAGGCTCTGTGCTGACAGTGCGGAGCCTGCTTGGGATTCATCCTCATTCTCTCTCTCTCTCTGCCCCTGCTGTGCTGTGCTCTGTATGTGTCTGTGTGTCTCAAAATAAATAAATAAACTTTTTTAAAAAAGCATCACTATTATTCATTTGGAAGAGGTCCAAGTCAGGCTGTGCTTTAAACAAAATTCTCAGAAGGCACCTCCTGACATATGACAGTAATACGAAGTCAGTCGGGGTCTACAAGGGACCAACCTAGAAATGGCAGCAGACGCACTGCCCTTTAGAGATAAACATGCAAGAGCAGAAAGTGGCCTGGGGAGCAGGACTATGGGGCAGAATTTTTTAATGTTTACTTATTTTTGAGAGAGAGACAACACACACGGCGGGGGGGGAGGAGGGGTGCAGAGACCGAGAATCCCAAGCAGGCTCTCTGCTGTCAGAGCAGAGCCCGACTCAGGGTCAAATCCATCTGAAATCAAGAGATGACACCTGAAAGACTTAGCCACCCATGCACCCCAGCATTTATTTTTTGTTATAAACCTTGTAACATCTGAATTTTAAATTCATGTGCACTTATAAACCAAAAATGTATTGTTTTATGCACATTTTAAGGATTAGGCATACCTAATACCCGAGTATAAAGGTTTTCATAGTCACAGAACTTTCTGATGGAAGGAGCCTTAAGACCACTTTCACTTCAGCTCCCACACGATGCACGTGAGGGGCAGAAGCAGCAAAGCCGCCACCAGAAGCCCACCCACCTCCTGCTCCCAGGCTCTGCCTGATGACATTGTCCCAGGCTGTCTGAA